GGGGACTAATTGCTCTCTAGCAAAGATGAATCCATTCTCAAGGGTCAAAAGGTCGAACTTGAGACCTCTGATTAAGGATAATGGTGACTCGATTCCCAAGGGTCAAAAGGTCAAGAACTCGAGATTTCTGATTAAGGATGGATGGGTACTTATCATTCTACTACAATTTTTTTGTTGTTGAGAACTAATAGTTTTGATTTGTTTTTTTTTTAGGGTTTTGTTATCTCAGATTGGCAAGGAATTGACAGAATTACTTCACCACCTCATTCAAATTATACACACTCAGTGTTGGCTGGGGTTCAAGCTGGGATTGATATGGTTAGCTTTCTAGTACTCTCTTTTGTCATTTTACATATGTTGTTTAGATTATTGGTGTTGTAATTCTTCTGATGTTTTTCGTACGTCGTTTTAAGCTTTTTCGATGTTGTACTTCTTCTGATCTTTCTCGTATGTCGCGTAAACTATTGATGTTGTACTTCTTCTGATCTTTTTGTATGTGTTTAAACTTTTGATGTTGTACTTCTTTTGATCTTTTTTATATGTCGTGTAAACTTTTGATGTTGTACTTCTTCTAATCTTTCTTATATGTTGTATAAACTATTGATGTTGTACTTCTTCTGATCTTTCTCATATGTTGTGTAAACTATTGATGTTGTACTTCTTCTAATATTTCTTGTATGTCGTGTAAACTATTGATGTTTTTACTTCTTCTGATCTTTCTCATATGTCGTGTAAACTATTGTTGTTGTACTTCTTCTGATCTTTCTTGTATGTCGTGTAAACTATTGATGTTGTGCTTCTTCTGATCTTTTTCATATGTCGTTTAAACTTTGATGTTCTACTTCTTCTGATCTTTTTCGTATTTTATTTGAACTTTCGATGTTCATATGTCATTTAACTTCTGGTGTAGTGGTTAAAGTGATCGATAAAATGGATCGAGAGAGTAAATACTTTGTCAAGATGTTATGAAATTTGAATTTTCATCTGATTATTTTTGTGGTTTTTTTGCAGATCATGGTCCCTTTGAACTATACAGAATTCATTGATACGTTGACCTCTTTGGTGAAAAATAATTTTATCCCCATGACCAGAATTGATGATGCTGTGAGGAGGATCTTGAGAGTCAAATTCACCTTGGGTCTATTTGAGAATCCTTTGGCTGATTATAAACTAGTTAAACACGTCGGAAGCCAGGTCAGTCTTGAAAACCGAACAAAAGAAACACAGTCTGATGCATGAAATATCTCGTGTTTTCCATAAATGCACAAAGTGTCTCGTGTTGTTCTGGAAAAATGTTGTTGTGTTCGTTCACTCAATGTTGAAACAGAACAGAAACAAAAAAGACAGTCTAATGCATGAAGTATCTCGTGTTTTCACTTTTCTATGAATGCACAAAGTATCTCGTGTTGTTCTGGAACAATGCTGTGTTCACTCACTTTTGAAACAGTAAAAAAAGACAGTCTGATGCACGAAGTATATATCTCGTGCTGTTCTGGAAAAATGCTGCTGTGTTCACTCAATTTCGAAACAGAACATAAAAAAGAACATTCTGATGCATGAAGTATCTCGTGTTTTTCCATCAATCCACGAATTGTCTTGTTTTCACCTTGAAAAATGCTCTGTCATGTTCACTCAATTTTGAAACAGATGAAAGTCTGATGCACAAAGTATCTCGTGTTTTTCTAGAAAAATGTTGTGTTCACTCACTTTTGAAACCAAAAAAAAAAAAGACAAGTCTGATGCACAAAGTATCTCGTGTTGTGTTATGGAGAAATGCTGCCGTTGATACACGAAGCATCTCGTGTTGTTCAGAAAAAATGCTGTGTTCACTCAAATTTTTTGAAACAAAACCATACCTTAAAAGATGTTGTTATTCTAATACCTCTGTTTCATTTTATGTGACGTTATTATTATTTTTTCGGTTAACAGGCACATAGAGAATTAGCAAGAGAAGCAGTTAGAAAATCACTTGTATTATTGAAGAATGGGGCAAATGCTAATGACCCTATACTACCTTTACCTAAAAAGGCATCAAGAATATTAGTAGCTGGAAGTCATGCCAATAATTTGGGCTATCAATGTGGTGGTTGGACAATTACATGGCAAGGAGTTGAAGGAAACAATGTCACAACAGGTATATATTTCATACTCTTGTCAAACTAAGACACGTAAAAAATGAAACAGATGGAGTATAGTATAGTAAAACTTTCCGATTTCTTTTCAGGTACTACTTTCTTGGATGCTATAACAGCTAGCGTTGATTCAAACACAGAAGTGGTGTATAGTGAGAGCCCTACAACAGAGTTTGTGAAGTCGAACAACTTTTCATACTCGATTGTTGTAGTAGGTGAGTTACCTTATGCAGAAACAGCAGGAGACAGTATGAATTTGACGATTACTAAGGGAGGTATCGACACAATGAGTAGTGTATGTGGCAACACAAAGTGTGTTGTGGTGTTAATATCAGGCAGGCCATTAGTTGTGCAGCCATATTTGAGCAACATTGATGGACTTGTTGCTGCATGGTTGCCTGGATCTGAGGGACAAGGTGTGGCTGATGTGTTGTTTGGTGATTATGAGTTTAGAGGAAAGTTGTCAAGAACTTGGTTTAAGAGTGTGGATCAATTGCCAATGAATGTTGGTGATAAAGATTATGATCCACTTTATCCTTATGGATTTGGGCTTACTACAACTAAAGTAGCTTCTAGATAGACAATTAGATATGTTGAATTACTAATATTTATAAGTTTTTGAACTAGTTTTTTGTTTTGATTACCTACATGTTTACTTGTGGTTACCATTTTTCGTTATAATGAATCATCTGTTTCGATTACCTACATTCTCGTTTTGTTGTTAATGGTGTTTTCTTATAGAACTAACGTGATATGATATGTTTATGATTATAAGATTTGTAAGGTTTTGAGTTTCGTGGCGAGTTGTCAAGAAGTTGGTTTCAAGAATGTGGATCAATTGCTTTTGGTAAAAAAGATTATGATCCACTTTGTCCATTTGGACTTGGGCTCACTAAACTAAAGTCCAAGATCAAATAGTTCTCATTAAAAATATTAGGGTTTTAATGATTTGATCAGTCGCTAGCTCTCGTATTATGGAGATTTCTCATCTATAGGTGCTCGTTCTATTTTGATTTGAATGATTTGAGGCTCTCGAGGTATATATGAGCGGTCCTTTAAGTGTTTCGATGGTTCAAACAAAGAAAAGATTATGATTTTTAACATCACCTCAACTCCCATTTTTAGTCATAAAGGATGGAATTAGAAGAAAGTTATCTCACAAGCAAGAGTCAATATTTGAATGTTATGAATTCTAAACATGAAACAGAACTTGGCAATAGTTTTGAAGAGCCGGAGCAACATAGGCTAAACGAATGACCAAAAGCACACATAAGTTTGAAGCCGGAACTTAGGAGCCTAAAACAAGCTTTCACAATACTGACTAAAATACATCTCGATTATATACTCTGATTGTTTGACTATATGCATCCCAGGGAAGAGACGCATGCCAAGGGATTGTGCTGTATGCAGCTTACCTTGACGCAAGCATCAGTGATTGATTCCACAGCTCGAACATGAGGCCTACGGATCCACACGGAGACAACTTTATCATTGCTCCAAGATTGTTCTTCATGCTGCTCAAAGACAATTAACTGTGGCATTGTTGAATAAAAGATGGTCTTAATGAAAACTACAGCAGGTTACAATCAGTGTCAATAAAGTTACACAATGTTTCCTACAGCTATGTTGCTCAGTCTTTCCAAAGATGTTGTCAAACCCGTGTCAGATCCTTCAAGAATGCACTACTGTTAGAGGATCCGACATGAAACAGAACAATGATTTCAAAGAGTTCGATCATCAAAGTCCTAGGGCATACTTCAATGGACCTTTATGATTTCAATATAGGAAACTAACAGAACTTCTAAATATGCCAGTTAAGTTTACTCTGAATAGACGCGAACATGCATTTAGTCAACTGAAGAAGCACACAGAATGGCATCATACACCCAAGTACACCAGTCACGAAGTCATCAATAAAATTTGAAACAGCATATCACTAAAACAATCACTGCCTCATCCAGCTTTTTGAGAAAGTGCAAGCGCTGTAAAATCAACAAGAGGATCTCATTGTATTTTTGTCGGGATATTCAAAGCTGCGCTAAATTTTACATATGTCTAACTTAACTTGGAAGAACAAATAGCAAACAACCCAAGAAAGATGGCACAGAAGAATAGCTGCATAGCTGAATACACAACAGGACTGATCAGATGGCTGATTTAGAAAGTACAAAGTAACTATATATCAACGGATGAAGCATCAACCAATGAGGCAATTGATCTATGAATACATGAACAACGCAAAGATTAGCACAACTACTACTTATATCAGAAAGTTTAATACACCAAAACTTGTGCTAAAGCAAGAAGAAACCTCTTTTAACAATTATAGTGTTAGGGCCAGCTAAGAAGCAACTTATACATTAACAACTAAAAAACAGCAAGCAGCTATTCAATAACATGTTATGAGTTCTAGATCACATTTAAATTAATCAAACGGTAGAATCACATGTCAGTCCACACATAAGAGATGAGAACCATAATACAAGGCTCGTAAGTCCAGCAAAATACACGCATGAATGAACTAAAGTAGAATGACACTTGAGCAAAAAGTTAACTAGGGTTCAACGAGCACGACTCAGCCAATTTTAATTTCAAGAAAGCAAAAATAAGAAAATATATCCTAAATTCTCACCAACTAAATGATGTTCAAAGGCAGCATGCTTAACACATGCAAGTCGAAAAAGGGAACATGGGAAACGGTGTTTCCAGTGGTGGGCGGGTGAGTAGTGCATAAGAACCTGTACAGTAATGATATAACCTCTTGTGAACTGAAGTGGACAGGGGCTACTACGTAAAATATGGTAACTCGGCTACATTTCAAAGGACAATGGGATAATATTATCAGCTTACACAAAAGTAATGACGAGATATTATCAATCTCCACTTTCTAGATAAAACAATCACGTTTCTACACATAACAGCAATAGCACCAAAATTTAAGTAAACAACATACAAAAGGATCAATCATCAGCTGCTTCTGTAGACTTCCCTCCAAACGGATCGTGAGAAGTTTCAGTATCCTGACCAATGTGGCGTTGCACAAGGCGCTGCAAATCAGCCATAACCTTCTGCTCACGCTTAGCCTTCTCCTCATAGTTAAACATAGCCAACGCTCGCTTGTCTTCAGCACTGTAAACTTGGTTTTCCTTTCTGATACGAATAGCATTCATCCTTTGATGCCTACTACCACTCATCACATAGCCAAGACCCTCGAATTTCGAAATCTCGTCAGCAGAAAGACCCACTTCACCTCTACGTGGAATACGCTTCCCTTGCTGAACATATTGGGCAATAGCATCACCTTCACCAGGCCTAAGTGCCCCACCATAGCTGATATGTCCTTCAGCCCTTGGCAAGGGCATTGGACCAACTGGGGCCTCATCTTCAAAATTACTCCTCTTCCTTGCCTCAATCAGTTCTTTAAATTCAAGCACCTCACCATTAACTTCATCTATCATTGCTTCATCAGCCTTCGTCTCATTAATTCCAGCGTCATCACTCAACTCCAAGCTCTTCTCTGGTATGTCACTATCCCCTTCCTTCTTTCTCTTACTCTTCAAAGCACTCTTTTGCTTCTTACTAGCATCAGAATCATCAATTTCACCATCTTCGCTTTCGCTCTTGCTTTTACTCTCACTCTCACTTGAATAGCTTTTCCTTTTGCTTCTTTTCTTCCTGCTACTACTACCCCTTTTATGTCTCCTGCTACTCTCTTTTCTCCTCGACTTTTTCCTTCTTTTGTTCCTTTCTTCTTCGGATGATGAATCATCAGTAGACTCTTCCTCTGATTCACTCACACTCTTCCTTCGCGATCTCCTACTCCTACGTTTAGAACTGGATTTCTTCCTCTTCCTAGATTTCCTCGGTTCAGAATCTGAAGCCTCTGAGTCAGAATCCGATGCATCTGATTCGGATTCGGAATCGGGCTCACTTCCGGAAGACTTAGTTTTTGACCTCTTCACATCCTTTTTGGATCCATCCTCCTTCTTTACCATCTCGTCTTCGATTTTTTCTGCAATTTCATCAGGTTCTTCATATTCCGGCTCATTTTCTTTCCTAGGTGGACTTGGTGTGCAATTCCAAATACAATTCTTCAACTGTTTCCTCAATTTCTGACGTTTTAGCCTCCGGTACTCCTCAAAACTCAAACCTTTAAGCTCTTCATCCGAATCAGAATCTGCAGTTCTTCCACTCTTATGATCTCGATCAAGGTAAGGTTTCTTCCCCCGTCCAAATCTCCTAGGAGGTTCATTCGTAGGGCTTGGTCTACGGTAAGAACGATCTGGAGAAAACGATCGCCGGTTGCTTCGTCCATTGGTATGTGACGCTTGCTGGCTTCTATATGGACTATAAGCCGGACTCCGACTCCGACTCCCGCTAACACTTCGGCTCAGGCTACGGTTTCGGTTTCGGTTTCTGATAGGACTACGGCTACGACTAGGACTTCGATATCGACGTCGATTGTCGTAGTGCGAGCTCCGCTGAGGTGAGTACCGGCCGCCGTCACCGTTCCGGTGGCTCCGATGCCTGTCGTCTGGGATTTCTACGGCGGAGGAAAGCCTACCCATTTGGGAATTAGGTTATTGTAAATGATAGAAGGCGGCCGGCGGGATTGTAAAATATAAGGTGTATGATTTATTATTAATTTAATTTTTTAATTAAAAATAATATTACTATATATTTTAATAATTACATATTCGATTTAGCCAGCAAATAAAATGAATCAAGAGTGCAAAGTATTTGATTATTAATATTTAATATCATTGGAATTAAATTAAATTTAACATGAGCGACAAAAATACGCAAATCTTACTCCTATAAGTAAGATAGCTTGTTTTTGATAGATTTTATACTTAACTAAAAACATTACTAAGCAAATTGAGAAAAAAAACAACGACACTGAATAAGTAAAAATAAAATGCTAAGAATGCATGATTTTACAACCACAAAATAATACGATAATCTAGTAACAGTAAATAGTAATAGAGAAGAAATTTAAAAAAATCCAAAGGAACACTAGAAATTTTCTACAACTAAAAGTATAAAAATCATCTAGAAATTTTCAAAATATAATTTAAATGACGAAACAATTACAAAGGAAAAAACAATGAATAAAGAATTTCATATTTTTATGATGGTTTTTTGAAGTATTTTTTGGAAAATATGGCACCTTATTTCGATTTAGGCATTCACGATATTTTTTGGAACATATGTCACCTTTTTATAGTTACCTTCTAAAATTGATGGCTTCTTGAAATAGTTCTTTTTTTTTTTAGGCAACGCGAATACCTCAACATATATCACATTCTTATAGTTATCTTCTGGAACTGATGACTATTACCTCTGAAACATATGTTACATTCTTATAGTTATCTTCTGGAACTGATGACTATTACCTCTGAAACATATATTACATTGTTATAGTTATCTTCTGGAACTGATGACTTCTTGAAATAGTCCTGTTTTGACAAAAGAGAGGCACATCGTATTCTTCTTTAGGGGTTGAGTTGCAAACAAAAATATTTTTAAAAAGTTATAACCGATGACTTCTTGATATAGTCATGCTTTGACAAAAGAGGCACCTCGTATTCTTTCTTAGGGTTTGATGTGCAAATAAAAATGTTTAAGAAAATTATAATTGATCGCCGTCTGTGGGGATTGAACCCACGACCATGTGGTTAAAAGCCACGCGCTCTACCACTGAGCTAAGACGGCCAATTAATCAACATTAATATAATATTTTACTAATTAACTCTGTAATATTTTTTAAAAAAATTGTTCGTTAATGACAATACGTTACGGGATAAAGCATTTTCTAATAAAGACAATTTCATACTTAGGTTACTCAATCCGTACTATTTAAAACTTTGAAGTATCACTTATATTGCTTGTAATTTTTATTTGGCTTGATACACGTTTATTTCCTTAGAATAGTATATTACACTCAAATTAAATAAGGTTTCGATTGAACATTTCAAATCTTATACATTTTTGATTAAAATCTTCTAAAAAGTTGCATGTATTTCACTCATCTATTAGATAGAGTAAATCGCATTCTGTATCATTTCGTTTAATCATATGTATCAATCTTAAATAGAATATGTCTGAAGTTTTACGTCTTCTTTCAACGTAATTAAAAAATACAAATTTTATTTGGTTACTTAATAAGAACAATAACGCAAATAATTTTCAACAAATTCAATTAAAACGGAATTTAATTCGAATGTCTAAATAAAATTTTTCGGAAAAGTTGTTTGCCCTTTAGCTCAAAAAAAATTAGCAGACCTTCAACACTTCACAAAGAAGCTCGAAGCTCCAACAATGGCTCGAATTTTCTGCTACAAGAATCTCTCTATTGCTTTTCAATTGAAAAGGCCAACGACCCATTTTCATCCTTCTTCTCTCCATTCTCAATCCTCAGCTCCTATAGACAAAGAAGTTGAAACTCTTTACCGTATCATAACAATAACACAGACACCAGAAGGACTGAAACAAGCACTGAAATCATCACAAATCAAATTATCAAACGACTTAATCGACAAAGTTCTCAAAAGGGTACGTTTTTCTCATTCAAACCCGTTACAAGCTTTAGAGTTCTTTAAATATGCAGATAAGCGAAAGGGGTTTTACCATACTGGTTTTTCTTTAGATACAATTTTGTATGTACTTGGTAGGAATCGTAAATTCGATAAGATTTGGGAGGTTTTAGTGGAAATGAAGAGAAAAGATCAATCTTTGATAACCCCCAGAACAGTTCAAGTTGTTTTAGGTAGAGTTGCTAAGGTTTGCTCTGTTAGAGAAACTGTTGAGTCTTTTTGGGGTTTTAAGAGACTGTTGAATGAGTTTGGTGTTGATTGTTTTAATGCATTGTTGAGGGCTTTGTGTCAGGAGAAGAGTATGAGTGATGCTAGGAATGTGTATCATAGGTTGAAGTACAAGTTTAGGCCAAATAACCAGACATTTAATATACTTTTGTCTGGTTGGAAGTCGTCGGAGGATGCGGAGGTTTTCTTTAAGGAGATGAGGGATTTGGGCGTTGAACCGGATGTTGTTTCGTTTAATTGTTTGGTGGATGTGTATTGTAAAGGGAGAGAGATGGAGAAGGCTTTTAGGGTGGTGGAGGAGATGAGGGAGAAGGATATTACTCCTGATGTGATAACTTATACAAGTTTAATTGGAGGGTTGGGGTTGGTTGGACAACCTGATAAGGCGAGGCACATTTTGAAGGAGATGAGGGAGTATGGATGTTATCCGGATGCGGCTGCTTATAATGCTGCGGTTAGGAACTTCTGCATTGCGAAGAGGATCGGGGATGCATACAGTTTGATGGATGAGATGGTTAGAAATGGTTTGAGCCCCAATGCCACTACATATAATGTGTTCTTAAGGTCATTTTTTTGGATAAATGATTTGAAAAGTTCATGGACTTTGTACCAGAGGATGAAGGAGACTGGGTGCTTACCGAGTACACAGTCGTGTATGTTCCTGATCAGGTTGAGCAGGAGACATGAGAAAGTGGAGATGGCACTTGAGTTGTGGGATGACATGATGGAGAGAGGATTTGGCTCATATATTTTGGTCTCTGATGTTTTGTTTGATTTGCTCTGTGATTTGGGAAAGTTGGCGGAGGCAGAAAGATGTTTCTTGCAAATGGTAAATAAAGGGCAAAAACCAAGTAATGTTTCCTTTAGGAGGATCAAGGTGCTTATGGAATTGGCTAATAAACAGGAGGCTCTTAAGCTTTTGTCAGAAAAGATGGCTGCTTTTCGTTCCTCCACACAACTGATCCAACACGATAAAGTGGAATATGAACAATCAAGTTGACCTGATGATTGCTGACTCATATTCCAGTACCTTGCTATTGTCCGATGAGTTTTTGGGTCCTCAACCTGATGCATTGGTTTGATTATGTAGCAGTGGGCTCTTCAATCAATATTGCAGGCCTCTAATCCAGAACTATACAAATGAGGTTTGTCTATGAAAATCAATTGCTTTATTTTCTTTAGACGCTTCAACAAAAATTATGCCTCAGTGCCAAACAAGTAGGGGCCAACACTATTTTCTTTGTTTCTAAAAAAAGCATCATTTTCTTTGTTCGTTGTTTTGCTTTTGTATGCCTTTTCTGCTAATTATTGATCTTATCTCTTCTAGTATATCCACACATCCTCATTTCTGATCCTATTGCTCCCGGTATACCCATACATCCATCTCAGCACCCTCATTCCGCAACTTGCATCTTCTGAACATGGGAGTTCTTGATTGGCCAGCACTCCGCCCCGCAAGTGTATGATGTAAGCATGCATGTTGTGGTACTCTACTACTCACTTAACATCTGTTAGAATGATCTGGTTTGCAATCAATAGTTAAGAGAGTACCAGAACAAGCCGACAAATTGTTGTGTTGGGGTGAGATGTAATTGTGAAGCCAAGAATTCTAACAAGGCTATCCAAAGAAAACTGTTAGAATGTCGCAAGTGTGATTTGAACAAAACCTAAATCATTTTAAAACTACCCTTATCATTGCACTAAACATGTTTCTATTGTCTCGAGGGAGTTCAACGGTTTATACATCCACATGTAAGAATTTTTACCTATATGCACAATATGTCGATACTTGCAATCCCTTGTTGGCCTTACCGAAGAAGTGAGTTTTTGTGTGCGATAGTCAACACGCAAGGAGACTGATTTGTGCAGAAACTGATAGCTTATTTCATCCAACATAGGCAGTTAAGCGTCATTTGAATGCTGACGGTCTGATTCTACCTTTGTGGGAGCAATACCCCCCTCCCCTCCCCTTTTTATCAGCTTCTGGGTTAGAGTTTACGTCTAAATATTGGTCAAAAAGTTTCAATTAGCAGGGTACTTTTGGGGTCAGTGTTGGAACACAGTGGAAAATGTTTTCATTTACAGGAACCTCAAAGAGCTCACAGAATTTGTATTATGCTTCCGAAGTTACCATTGTGATGTTTCCCTCATTTGGATGTCGTCTTGGTTAAAATTACGATTCTCTCCCATTAAACAACTTGTAACTTTGCACAACCATTTACCATGCACTCATTCTCACTATACAGGGCCTTGAGTCAGTGCGTTAACACAAGGCAATTCTTCAATGATGCATTTAGCTGTCATCAATGACACAATAGTTTTACCTTCACTAGGTAGGAGTAAGGTCTGCATACACACCACCCTCCCAAGCCCATCCTTGTGGGATTACACGGGTATGTTATTGTTGAAATGACATAATAGTTGCCATTATATTGACACCTTTTATTTCTCATTTCAGATGACACCAGACGCACGACATCTTCTTTCTTTTTGCAAGGAAGGACCATCCTTGGAATGAATGCTTTAGTTTGGAGCCTGCCGCCATAGTTTGCTTTCCTCATAAGAAATTCCAAGGACGCTACGCAGGATCTGAAACTTGGTAGATAATGGGCCTCACCCCTTTATCCTCCTTCACTTACATACCAGGCTTTTGTCTGCTCCATGGTTCAAACTTGTGACATGCACCCGACTCACACATCATGTGTTTTACTCTTGCTACTAGAGCAAGGCCATGGGATCTGAAGTTCACACTTTGTCATCCAATACAAATTTTAAGCCTCCATTGGCTCACTTGATGGTGTTCTAAAGTACTATAGAGTACAACACAGTTCTTGAAAATGTTGATCAACAACTCAGTACTTCCATGTATACTATTTTTACTGGTAAAGCAGTACTTGGACCACTTAGATTTGTGCTCGTTGGTGAGTGAAAAAGAAACCAACCTTGTTAACTTGCTAGCAAGTGTTCATTGTGATTGAAAAAACCATACATTCGCGATATCATGTAAAATCACATTTTTACAATGTAGGTTCAAGATTTGGATCGAACCAATATAGATAATTTTGTAGATTTCTTTGTGCTTTATGCTTTCTCATTCTTACAACTATTCAATATTTTACACTTTTAACATTGTTTACTCTATTTACAAGTTATACCAACCAAAAATTAAAGAGAATAGCTTCTTTGTCACATGATAGTTTATTAGGAACAATAAGTACAATATAGTTTCACAAATGGAAAAAGCTTACAAATAAATATTATTCACTCGTTTCATTTCTTAATATAAGACATGAAGGTTAAGATAATAAGATACATGAATTTTGCAATCGTAAATTAAAAATGATAATATATCGAAATATCATTTGAATCTTGAGCATCAAGACTAATTTCACAGGATATCTCACCTCCACTAGTAACAAATATCAATTAACTCTATCCACCAAGGTTAAGACATATGATAAGAAATCACCGAGTGTTAATCTCTACTGGAATTTAAACACACACAACCTACTTCATCGACCATTAGGTCATACTCGTGGTGCATTATGATTTCAAACATGTCATGGAGTATATTTGAAATAAGAAAATTACAAAAATATAAAATGCGACTTATTTTGAAATAGAATAAAAAAGAAAGTAGGAGGCAAGGCATATATTCAAACAGATAGTATCTGTTTTAGTCTTAGGCTATTCAGAAACTTAAATACATGTCTTGGTAAAATTCAGTTACAAACTTGATAAGATTCAACAACAAACATTAGATGATGAAATATTTTCATCAACCACTTCACTTGAATGTCTTTTTTTCCTCAAGCAAAGTATGTATAACCTCTACCAACATACTAGTAGGTAGAATCTACACAATTGATTTCTTAAATCGCCATGAAATTTCATCGATGCACACATCGAATTCCAAAACATGAAATAAGCATGGCATAATAGACCTTCCGAGATGAGAAAACCAAAATATGGAAAACATGGTAATGGACCAGATGAAGGTACAGGGACAAAAAATTACATGCGCTTTACAACTGTACAAAATTCCCCGAGCACCACTCCTCGTCTCTACATTAGGAGAGCAACCACTTACATAGACGAGAGACACGAACCTCTCTGCCTAAGTTGTGGTGATTAACATCTTCGTATCATTTCTTTGTGTATGTCAAGTAAGGGTCTTGGGCGATAGTCAAAACATCTGGCCTCTCAGCTTGATTATATGTTAAACAACGACGAATAAACTCCTGCTCAAACACATAGAAAAGAGAATCAATAAAACAGCGATCCAAGAATCAGTGGCAAGAGCAATATAACAAAATCCTAATAAGTCTGAAAATATTGTTGAAATTTAACTTTTCTTGTACATTGCTTAATGAAGTTTTGTTTCATCAATTAGCTAGTATGCCCAGAGTAGTCATATCGGACACGAGAGTTAAGTTCTAGTATCCTGATTCTGAATCTTGATATGCTCCAGATGTTTCTGGTCATGGTATGTATGGACTACTGTCATGCTAGTAATCAATAGTTGATGGGGATTGAGATAAAGCATGGAGCCAACTGGCGCATGTACTCAACTTGAATCAAAGCCATATTATTATGTATCAGTAAAAGAACAGCATAGCTGTGACCAAAAGTTTACCACATTTGGGGCATCAAATGACCTAAAAATGTAGGCAACGTCAATGGTTTCATTTTTATTTTTGAATTGGGCCTCCGGGTTATCTTGATAATGCTCACAAAAAGGAAAACAAAATAGGGACAATTTATCATATCATTGTCAGATGAGAAATATCGTCAGATATAGCAAGGAGAAAACCTCACCTTTGCCTCATTAGAGACAGCTGGTCTTGTAGGGAACTCGACCTTTCTTGCTTTAATAATTGTGTCCTCCCTTAGTATTCTCTCTTGTGTTTGGTCGTGCCCAAAGGGGCGTTTACCAAACAGCATTTGGTACAACAAAATACCAGCTGACCAGACATCAACCTAGTTACATAAATATAAATTTACGAGTTTAGTTCATAAAAACACATAGTTAACTGTTCATTCATCATGTTTAGGATTAAATATGCATCAATCAAGATGCAGACACAGCATTAAGTCCAAGATCTTTAGAAACAAACTATTTGTAAAAAATGTTGTGTACTCCTGGTCTACAGTGGAGTCCTATTTAACTTTATCAACAAGTTAAAGCAAAGCAGGAGAACTCACTCTCGAGGATATAAGAGGTGTCTTGCTTAGCTCAAAGCATTCGGGAGGTAGATACCTATAGAAACAATACATCCAGAAATAATGGACCTTAGTAAAAATTTTACAAAGGCAAGAGATGACAGCAAAAGTAGGTTCAGAACAGTGCACCTCACTAAAAACATGATGACAGCATAAATCTACCACTCACCAGTACGTTCCCGCTCCCTGGGATGTGAGTTCCATACCCTGGGATCCAACATCATCTTCCACTATCTTGCTTAGACCAAAATCGGTAACTTTAGCAACACCAAGCTCATCAAATAGAACATTCCCTGGCTTCAGATCATAATGGATGATCCTCTGTGACTTTTTATTTAAGTAAATAAGGCCTTGAAAAACCTGCACAATGATGATTCTTGCTTCCCTTTCTGGCAACACAGGTGTTGCTTTGAGAACTGCATCAAGGTCCTTCCCTACAGGCAAAAACATTTATGACTAATATGAGAGATAATCCTCAAATACCTCATTGCACTGAACATAATTGTAATTGTTCCATATTGATTATGCAATAAAGGGAGTAAACACACCACTACAGTACTCCAACACAGTGCAAAATGTGTTCTGATCTATCTCAAAAATGTCCCAAAGCCGCACAATGTGATGGTGCACCAAAGTCTTGTGGATGTTGTACTCCCTGATTGCATGTCGTATATAACTTTGCTTCTTCTCTTCGCTCCACTGAGCATTTAGTCCATGTAGCTTACATGCAACATATCTATGATCTACCAAGTCAAAAGCCTGCCAGAATTTTGCAATTTGAAGTGGATGGAAGGATATTTTTCTCAATATGTTAATACATAAAAGAGGTGTACAATGTCATCTGGTGAATGAAAATATATTTAACACCCACTTTCAGATTCCTACCTTATAGACCTCACTAAATCCTCCTTTCCCAAGAAGGTTTAAGAGGGCATATCGGTGGTTCAAAATCTGAAAATTGTTAAAACGAGAACCGTCTTCATCACGTATGCGTTTCATTTCACGAATGAGCCTTCCTTTCTCTAGTTCATACCGATCTCTCTCACGCATTATCATATCCTCCTCCTAATGAAAATGAATATGACGGTGTGAAGCATGGAGTGTATTTTAGAAACAAAGCACCAGAAATGACAGAACTGGTAGGTAGATAAATATTTAGAGAAGGAAGAGAAACTTACTCGTTTGATGCTAGTTAAACGAGATTTGTAGATTTCATCCTGAATGAAAGAATCTTCTTCCTGCAAACCTCCCTCCACATCTCCTCCATCACTTTTATCTGCAATGGTAGGGTAAACCTTATTGTTAGTAACCTTTTATAATACAAGAAACATAGTTTTGGGCAATCGAAGAAAATGAAAAATCAAATGAACAGCTATTCCTGCTGAACTAATGACAAACAGTCATGAACAAGAAGCCAACATGGGAGTCTTTTTTTTTTTTTGAGAAGGTAACGATTTGTATTTCTATTTCCAAAAAGTCAACCTGCCACAACATGTTACAGATTCCTAATTACAGATTAAATAGAGTATAACAGAAGATCTTCAATCCTATGACAAAAATTACGGGGATCCTAAGATATTCATAACTGATTCTAGATCTTCCATATACTCCTGTTTACACCAAAAATGAAACAACACAAGACAATTCATTTTCATCTTCTGATAGTGTTGCTCTTGTTCTGATGACATCTAAGGTTCCTCCTTTCTTTCCACGTTGACTACCAAATACAAGCTGATAAGACTGAGGCAACTATATTAAGACAGAACCTCCAGTGAAGTGTTGCTGAAACAACACTCAAGCCAGAGATGCATACAAATTAAGCATGGATTGCTTACAACTCTAGCTTTATTCAAATGTCATCTGCTAAGACGATAGTGAACTTGAAAATCACACAACTTGCGTTTGGAATGTCATGCAGCCATTTAATGAAGAGCAGATTCAAGACCAGAAATATAGTAAAAGAAATATTAGCGATCTTACAAACAGATTTGGACAATTTTTTGGGACAAAATCCACTCATTCACAAAGTTACCAGTTTCAAAAAAAAAATAATCCACTCATTCACCAAAATAACACCATAAATCTATCTAAGAGAAGGAACATGAGAAAGTATGATTCAAACGGAAAACTTCACCTGGTTGTCGTTTCTTCAACAATTTACGCTGCCGTTCAATAGCTTCTTTTGTTTCTAATAAGTTTCTCTGTAAAAAAAGATTCATTAGCAATAACACCTCTTGGATCTAGGATATAAGCAATGTTTAGCAGTGTAATTAATATGGAGACACCGAAAACTAAATAGCATATAGGATCAGTTTCCATATTGGATTTATTCAGCTTGCAAACAATCTAACTGAAGTTAAGTCAGGTAAGTCTGCAAAGTTACTTGGTCTTCCTTTTAATACGTAAAACGCCTCTTTCCTTGACAAGCAACTCCTGTGTGTCCAAAGATCCAGGCAATATAAACTATTATTAAAATTCTTGATTCAACTCTCAGATTCTCAATATACTAATTTTTTCTAGTTCAAATCTCTCCTTTGTTGTGGGCATGGTTGTTAGGACATAAGCTGAAGTTCTATTGTACTTTAAAAGCTAAATGGACAGGCAGTGACTGTTAGTTGTCAGCATGGATATATTAATATATCCATAAAATGAAACTGCAAAACAAGCAGTCCCTTGCCAGACCACCAAAATACGGAACATACAAGTTGAGCATTCAGGTCCTTTAGTGCTTGCCCATCTTCCCAGGCCTCAGATATAATGGTTCCAGCTCTGCAATTAACCAAAGAACAGAAAAAGATCAGCAGTCGCAAAAATAAATAGGTTCAAATCATGATATTTGATAACACGAAAAATAAATTGATACTTAGAGGATGGGCATACGGCCTATTAATAATCTAGAGTTCTATTAGTATACTTGTTACATAGTTATCACCAACAAAATCCCAGCAATTAATCAATTACTCTCCTATTAAGACTCATGTCCACGGTAAGCTTAAGGCTTGTCATGTTCTGCCTAATCACCTCTCCCCAATATTTATTTAGCCTACCCTACCTCTCCTCAGACCCTCCAACGTCGACCTCTCACACATCCTCACTGGGGCGTCTATGCATCTCCTCTTGACATATGGAGGCCACTTCCACCTTAACCTGAATATCTTCATTTCTGGCCATATCTCTGCTAGTAAGCCCCTACACATCTATCTTAGCATACTCAATTCCGCAACTTCCATCTTTTGGACATGAGAGTTCTTGACTAACCAACACTCCACCCCGCACAACGAAGCTGGTCTAACTACTGCTCTGTAGAACTTACCTTAGTGTCACCTTTCTATCACATAAGACACCAGAATTCTTTTGATAAGTAATCATCCTTTTTTGTTTCTATGTACATTCGCATCTATTATGCCATTTTCTTGCAAGACTGAACTGAGGTATCTAAAATTTTTGCATTTAGACATCACAATTCCATCAAATTTCACCTCACCATTATTCCTCAAATCTTGTACATCCATTTTAACATTCACATTTTACACTTTCATCTATGTTGGACCTTAGGGACCAACATTAACCCCATTTTGGATATCACTCGTGTATTAAACTTCTATTTAAGCCATGTTACTTTGATTCCCTTTTTTTATCTCCTCAAAAAAGTATTCATCCAACTGTGTTTCTATCTAGTACACTTGAATCTATTATGCCATTTTACTGCAAGACTGATCTGAGGCATCTAAATCTTTTGCATTTAGACATCACAATCCCGGCAAATGCACTTCACCATTATTCCTCTTCATGGAAGCTAACATTCAGTGCAATATCTTGTGTTACTTCTACTTATACTGAAACCTCACTATCTAGAGTGCTTATCCAGAGTCCAGAAGATAGATTGACTCTCTTGCTGTGTCAATTACAATATGCTATATGAAATAATATGCACCATGGAATCCGTCACCATACTATTATTACAAGAACAATAATAAAGCCTCACTTCCAAGTTAATTGGGGCTGACAATATGTTCAGTATTTAGATTATCCATAACAAAGGTAAATAAATCCCGACTTAAGAGAGATCCTCAGAGGAAACTGCGAACACACAATTATGGGAACTCGTTGCACCTTTTCTTACTTTTCACACTCCTGATGCCTTCTCATCTGTTAAACTTACTTAATATACTAGACCAAGCAGCAAAATGCTCACTATAAATAACACCTTGATAAGAATGCTGTACCTGATTACTCCCACATTGCCCAGTCTCAATGATTCCTGGCGCACTTTCATCCGAGCCTCTTGTCTCTCAGCTTTTGAAACAGATATTAGCAACTCGGACATTATTTTCGTTCTCTGCAGACAAGAAAAAAATGAACCATTTCCATGAGGGAATACCAATAAACAGGTATAATATCAACCTTTTTATATCAACTTGGTATTTTTACCTGCTTGCTGACACGAGATTATTGCAGACACAATGGGACACAGCTAAGAATAAATTGTAAACAACTAAAGCAGAATTTGACAGCAATATTTTGGCAGGATAGCCAAATAGTGATGTTCACACAACTTGCATGAGATAGTAAATATGTCCACAAATGGACCAACAAAAAGAAATATTTTAGAAACAACAAAGCTAAGTTTGAAAACAATATTTTGCCAGGAAAATGAAATAGCTACGGGTGTGCCCGAAATGTGTGTGTATACATGCATACCATATATATGCAAAGTGCTTTGGTACTACAGCCTATTCGATACTCCATAATTCTACATAATGTAGAAAACTCTGGTTTTTAGTTTGAATAATGCCTGTTCTGCTGAAGTGGTCAAGCTGAATACACCAACTTTGTAGGTTTACTCCATCAGGTAAATCATATTAACAGATACATTCCTCCATAGCATATTCAGACATATGATGATAACTCGAAAGATATATGACTTAAGCAAATATAGTACCAATCAGAGCTGACAAAAAAATTTGATTTGGCGACAAGCACACCAATGTAGCTAGTTAGTGCCACAAATATTTGGTCATGCGGTTCGCAAAGGTAACCTCCCAAACTAAATACAAACACTACCGATTATTTCTAGGGCAGAAACAGAACTTGACCAATGAAAAGAAGTAAAATAACCAATGAAGCACACCTTTGGCTTTGTCTGCTGCTCGTAATCTTTAAGATCCTTCAGCTCCTGTATAATTTAAGTATGCAATGCTGAAAGGTCAGTTGCAATTGAAAATTCTATTCAAAGACAAATCAACTAACAGGTCATTTGGTTCACAGACAAGTTATATACAGATTATAATTTAGGGATTGTAATTCAATAGATAATAATTTCTGAATTATTTGCATTTGTAATCAGACTTTTGCTTAGTAGTTTAAAATTTTGAACATAAATCTAGAATGTTTGTTTGGTTTTATTTTATCTTATTTTGATCAAGTAAATAAGGTTTCATTGAATGAAAGACTGAAATTGGCCATAGACAAGAGGTATACCAAAAAGTAGAGAACCTACAAAAAGATATGGTTCTGTAAAAAAGACACCTGAGCTTCTATACAAGCAGGTAGTACATGGGTGCACTAAAAGAACACAAGGGACGGTGAATACTCCTCAACTGAGCAGAACTCATCTCTACTCCCTCAATGACTCATGTTTCTCTCCTTCCAAATAACCCACATCAAAGCTAGTGGAGCTACATTACACACCTTGTGTCTTCTCGACATTCTTCCTCTCTTCCAGTTGAACATCAGCTCCTTTACAGATCTTGGCATTGCCCATAAAATACTAAACCATCTGAAAATATTCCATCATAACACCGTGGCTAGGCTACAATATAGGAGAAAATGATCCACGTCTTCACCCCTCTCCTTGCGTAAGTAACACCAACTAATAAAAACAACTTTTCGCTTCCTAAGGTTTTCCAATGTCAAAATCACTCCTCTAGTTGATTGATTTTAAATAAAATAAGCATTTGTGTCTAATAATATCCTCGATTTATACATTTGTTCTATCCGAATTCATATTCAGTTTATCATCATATGTTCTATAATTACCATATAGGATTAGAAATCAAAATAAAATTCAGACTAGTAAGCTTTTCTGTAACTCAAAAGCTTTTCTGTAACTCAAATAAAGAACAATTTTAAGAGTTTAAAATGAGGCATACTATGAGATAAATTGCTATTCTTTCCTGTCCAAAGTAAGTGATTTTCTAGCCTTTCTAACTTGGTCCAAAATAGGTGATTTAAAAAAACGTATATATTTTCTCCAACTTTACTCTTGTCTAGTAAATGATCTGAAAAAATTTCTAAAAGGTCTTTTAATACTTCTTAACTTATGTTGAGGAGAGGGAAAGGGTGTCAAATAACCCTCTGAGTTAATGTTGTTAACTGGTTTCTTAATCTGTGGACTAGAGAGAGTAACAAATTTTATGTTCCCCTACTAAACATAATTGTTTATTTCAAACACCTTGTTATAGCTTTAAATCAATATTAGCAAACATTATTGGGAACATGCAAGTGATAACAAAAGATGGTTAACTAAACAGGTACCAGATATAGCAAATTTTCAGGCATTTATGAGAACTTACACATGTACATACTAATTCATATGTTGTTATCCAGTATTGAATTAGTACATCATTCGATATCGGGATTATTTGCAGTACTCTAGGTAACCTAAAGAAGTTGTACCTTTTCCAGCTGTTGACACCGATACTGATAATCTGTGGCCTCTTGACGGGATTTCCTAAGCTCTTCCTCCAAAGCCACAATTTTTGCCCGTAAAGTAGTGATCTCCTCCTAATGTCAAGGGCATTCCACATCATTTCAACAAATTAGAAATTTATAAATAGTACCAAAGAGTGACTGCATAAAATTCATGAGTTGTAAACCCTTTTTATGGCATAAATTCCCCCAGATAGAAATTGTAGGTTAGAATGCACTTTTGACAGTAGAAAAGTATGGAAGAAATCTGAAAACTATAACTAAAGCCATACTTCTGATGCAGTCTGTCCATTATGCCCAAGTTGCTCTTTAGGCAAACTATCCTGCAACTACAACAAGCAAAATTTTAATGTGTTAGTCCACTAACAAACAACTGCCAATTCTACGCAATCTATCATCCTTTTCATTGTAAAGTTACAAGATATGCATCTATTACCTAACAAAATTACAATCTATTTGCATTTGATACTTTCTAAATCAAACTGACTTTCACAAATTAAGTATTAGGGCCTTTGGGTTGCAGTGGATTATATGTATTACATGCTCAATATGCCCACAAGTACTCGCTAGTGTCCTATATAACTACACAACAGAAAAGGTATACAAGGGTAACTAAATCAAGCAGAAAATCATTGTTAAAAGATCTCATCTACAAAATAGAGCACACAATATACTGAAACAATGGTAGCTAAGGTATAAAGGAAGAATTAGGAAAATAGGGAACACGTTACAACAATGAACACTAAATTAATTTCAATATATAGAATGTGGAAACTAACAGCACGAGTCCAGATTTTAACATTGGTAAAGGTACAATAAAGAATAACAGTAGAAATCATCAGCGCAAACTCTTATATGTATATTCAGCTTTAAACATTTCAGAATTGACATTATAAAGCAGGAGCTTCTCTTGTTTTGTTTTAATTTCCCAATTCCCATGTGTCGTTTTTGGACAAACATTTGCCTGTATTTTCAAACTTATCCTTTCAAGCTCAATCATTACTGATAATCATGCAATCCTAAAACAAACATTAAATCATGCTATCCTAAAACAAAACCTTAAATCATGCCAGGAAAAAACTCACCTTCTTGTAAGAGTTCTCGAACAGATCATTTGACGCAGAAACTGCTTGTAACCTGGTCTGATCACCAACTCGGGAACCACGCCCTCTACCAGAATTAGTTTGTCCCCTACTACGGCTTTGTTTTCGTCTATTCCCATCTGAAGCCACTTTGCTTGTTTCTGTATTCTCTACCATCTTTTTCCCTGTATCAGCTGCTGTCTACAAAAGTATTTGCTTCAGCATTAGCATATACATTATTCCAGAAGGGTAAGTGGAACAACACCCTAATATAAAATTGCTAGAAAATGGATAGTTGTAAAAAGAGAGTATCTCAGAAATTAGAATGGCTAACCTAAAGGGACTGGACAAGAAAAACAAGGAGTTATTCACAACACATAGCAAACCTATATAAGATATACCTCCACATGGTCAAACGAAGTTGAGCTGTCATCGTCTTCAAGTTTGCGCCGCTTCTGAGTGTTTGCTTGTATGAGATATTCCACTCCGTTCTGATAGAGAAGAAGGAGAAATGTCAGCGACGAGAATGAAAAGTTATGCTTTAAGAGCAAAAACTGCAGGAATAGAAACTAAACCCAAATTTGTAATAAGTAGCTTGAGCAGTCCACACTGAGTAATTAGTTTTTCCAAATCATATCGAAAGGTGCCAAAGGCGCACTTAAGCCTTAAAGCGAGCCTCAAAACATGTTGAGTGCTTCGACTCTTCAGATTCGTCAATAAGGGCTTGTTTGGTAGGAGGAATAAGGGATAACTAATCCCGAGATTAATTTTAGGATGAGTTTATCCCATTTTTGGTTAGGATGAAATCGCAGGACTGGGATTGTGGTGTTATTTCTATCCACATTTAGGGAAGGAAAATAATCCTAGGATAACTTGTTCCAACCAAACGAACTCTAAGGGTCTAAGACAGATTTATCTTTGCGAATAAGTGCTTCCTGGAGAGGCGGTGCTAAACAATTGGTATTTCACTTTTGTAAAAATATTTGTATCTTTTTTAATTGAAGTCCACACTTTACTTGCATTTAGTTATGCTTAAAGCCCCAACAGACCTTACAGTCTCTTGCTTTTTTTATAACACTGACCCAATTTAGGAATATTTGTTATTTTACCATAGAAAAATCAGGCTTATTAAAGTAAATCTCTGTCATTCCAAGATTGCAGATATTCGGATTCAAATTTCCCATTTTTAAGTATAGGGAGAAAACTAATGCAATGTACTTCCATAATCTATCTGAGGTGTGTTTGTTTTACAACTCTGAGGTCACAAATTATTAGTTACTGACAACTCAAACAGATTTCTGTTCGGATTTATCGGATCAGGATTTGGAAGGAAGAAACTTTAATAGATGTGGACTGGTAAAAGTTTGAATACGACAAGGTAGGAAAGCTTTTAAAAGAAGACCTTTTTTCGCATTAATGGCATCGGGTAAGGTTTTTCTCTTGAAGATTCCAGGCAATTAAAGGACAGAAACCTTAACATTTGCTAATAATGAGTTGAAAATCTTCTGCAAGACTTTAGCTAGTTTAAGAAGAGACACGACGCAAATAGGTGTATGGTATTTAGTACATTGGAAATTTTAGATATTCGGTCAAACTTTTCAAATGCATAGAAAGAAACATGTGAAGAATGAGGCCAGATCAGTAGCAGCACTAGGTTACAAATAGCACTGTTTTAGTGGCAAGCAGAGTAGGATGGTACATACCAGATATGCGATACGGACATCAAATGCTAACGATATAGCCCTAGGTTTAGTTCAAGTAGCAAAGGTTGAGGACATAAAGTGATATGATATAAAAGATTTCTCACCGTTAATATGGTTCTTATTATCAAAGACTCACCAGACTGGTTACAAGAATTGAATGCAAAATGAATGACCATATCATCAGCCGTTCTTAAAAAAGAAGAGCAAAGATATCAGATCATTCACATCTGAACCGAAAGAACTAAGAACCTAAAAAAGTGAACTTAGGTGTCTTTCTGATGATTTGAAGCGATTCTAAGAGACCCTTTTAGTCAAAAAGAGTTGTATAAAACAAGAAACGGCAGTTTCAGACAAATGATTTCAACCCTTTTGAGAACTTCTTGTGAGGAAATAGGACCGAGGAAATTTAGGGTTAATTAAATTCCGACTTTCCGTCACTCATATAATAAGTATTGATTGTCTCAGTGTAATATATTTCGTTAAAAGATGTTATGGTTCTGAAAAACTTTGTGAGAGATACATCCTATGTACAATTTTGACCTATCGATACTAGCTGAATTATTCAAAAATCATTAAAGCTCCATTTTGGTTTGAAAGAGTATTATAATGTAAACAAAAAGAATAATTTTTTGGAGTTTCAACTTCTATGTCGTGAAGTTCAACAGAGGTATCGTATCTAAAACAATGAGCAATTTTTTCATTTCACACATGGTATCTCGAGGATTGCATGCTCAAGTAATTAAGTTTAGTGAAAATCAAGGAGTTTAAACTAATAAAGATTGAAACTAATAGATCTCTATCCTCTACATTATTCTCTTAGTACTATTTTAGAGTTGCACAAGCAAACATGCTTGCAAAGGTACATGTTTACATGGAACCCCGACCAAACTAAACTCATAAAGACAGTAATCAACTAGATAGATACATAGAGAGCTCAAATTAAGTTGAATTCTAAGCATTTAAATGCACAATTTATGAGATTTTGCAACATTAAGCAAATTACTACTTTATAATAGAAAACAGAAACAGCAATTAGAAAATCATTTCACAAACTCACATCATCATCATCTGAATCACTAGAGACGGTGGCAGGCTCAGCAACATTCTCAAACATAGCTGGGGAAGACCAGGAATTAGCTTGAGATGTAACAGATGAAGCTTTCCCCACCATTCTTGCCTCAAGTTTCGCAATTTTTGTAGGCAAAGACTGGTCAGATTGGTTAGAAGAATTGGATGCAAAATGAATGACCATATCATCAGCCATTCTTAAAAAAAACAACAAAGGTATCAGATCATTCACAACTGACCCAGAACAACAAACAACCTAAAAAAGTGAACTTTGGTGTCTTTTTGATGATTTGAAGCGATTCTAAGACACCCTTTTAGTCAAAAAGAGTTGTACAATCAAGAAAACGGCAGCATCAGAGAAATCAATTCAACCCTTTTGACAACTTCTTGTAAGGAAATGGGACAGAGGAGATTTAGGGTTAATTTAATTCCCTTTTCTTGAGGAAAATGGAAAGAATCAAAGAGAGGGAAGTACTAAAAAAAGAGTTGAAGGGGAGATTTTGAAATCTCAAGAAGTTAGTCTTTTTGGGAAGAGCAAAGAGGTTGTGGGTCGGAGGTTCGTATTGAAGCCCAGACTAAATTCGTATATTGTAAGGCCCATTAAGAAGTGACACTTTCAATATAATTTTCTATGTATCTACGGCTCGAACTTGACACCATGTTGACTTGTAAGTGATTACGGCTCGAACTTGACACCATATTGGCTCGTAAGTGATTCTTTTAGAGAGGAGAGTAAAAAGGTGAGGAAAAGAAACGAAGAGAGTAGAACACCATATGTTTGTATTTCGTGTCGTATAAAATAAATAAAGAGATTAAAATAGTCTCTATTTTGGGTATAGTTCGAAAACGTTCCTATTCTTTAATCGCGAGCATAAGTAGTCTACTATGTTTCTAAAATGTATACACGTTTAGTCCAAAAAATGATATGTATAATGTCGAAATTTAAAAGATGTTAAAGATTAACAAAAATTTGGTGATAACCCAAAATAGTTTGTATTATTTAGGGCCCGTTTGGATGGGCTTAATAAAAGCAGCTTTGAAAATGTACTTTTAAAAATGCTGAAACTTATTTTTAAAATAAGCAGTTATGCGTTTGGATAAAAGTGCTGAAGTTGTTATGCCAAACGTGAAAAGGGAAAAATAGAAGAAAGAGATGTTAGGGTTATATGGGTAATTTGGAGATTGTATAAAAATATTAAGGGAAAAAACATAAAAATATGGTCAACTTAAAACAGCTTATAAGTTAAAAAAAAAACACCCCTACCCCAACTTTTAACTTTTGGCTTAAAATAAGTTTTTTTTTAACTTAAAATAAGCTATTTTGAGTATTGTCAAACAGTTAAATAAATCAAAAACCAGCTTTTAAGTCAGTTTGACCAGCTTTTAAGCTGAGCCAAACAGGCTCTTAATCCTTGTCTAAGTTTTAACAAGTAGGGCAATATATATTTAACTAGTTGAGAATCACATTTAAATTGATCCTATTTATTGGTGTTAGTAAAATAAAAAAAAAATATAATTTCCAACTTTATTAATTGTATTTTTGGTTCTTAGAGAAGAAAAAGTTTTGCAAGTCTAAAACGATAGAAAAATTGTTTAACTAATTATAAAATTCAAATTATCATATTTTTTTATTTTATATAATTCTTTTACACTAGATAAAATCTTGAATTAAAAACTTTTTTTAAATTATAAAGATGATCGATCAAGCAGATGGATTGGGATATAACTTGTTGTTTAGCTCGTTTTAGTTCAATCCATCGTGATCTATGTAAATTTGTGGACAATTGATCGATAAATTATTTACTGTGTCATTCTATTTTGATCCGTCCAAATTCAATTTCCACGAGCAAAACTATATGCGTAGCGTGATGTCAAAAATTTGATTCAATTTGCATATCGTGAGTTCCTATTGTGAACCAAGATAAACTCTGTAAGGGTATGTGGGCTAGACGTGATAAATAAGACTGACTCAATTGGCATTAAGGGACCAAGTAAAATATTGAAGAGTTATATTTGAAATTCGATCTAATTAGCGATGGTTAAAAATGTATAGGGATTAGAAAGAACGGTTAAGCAAATTATGTCAAACAAGCTCACATCGAGTTTTTATACAAATAACAAATAATTTGAAACCGCGATCTTATTGATACTTGAATGATTATACAGAACAGCAAAATTCAAAAAAAAAAAAATTAATAAAATCTTTTCGATACCTGAATGATCATATAATATAACAACTCAAAAGTTAGTAAATTTCAACAATACATCAATAAATGATACACCTCTTAATAATTGGTATTACATAGGCTAATCAATTGACAAAACCTAATTTCATATGCCCATTAAGCAGGAGAACAAAATTAGAATCATCCAAAAAAAAAAAAAAAAGAGGAGATCTGCTCAAATGTATGGTTACTGGATGGAGATTTGGTCATCCAAAAAAAAGAGATGATAAAGGGTTTCTGTTACCATTCATAATTTCTCCTCCCATCATGACTACTGTTGCCAAATCGCGAAGCTGAAAACCTATGGTGATTATGATGTTTGACTGATCCATAAGGAGTTGAATCGTTAAAGTCGAGCCTGTTGGACTTTCTAGATGAATAAGAAACAGAAGAATGATCACCAGAACCGAAGTTGGATGTCCTGGCTCTCTTATGTCCAGGAGTTGAAGGAGATCTCCAACCATTGGATTGAGGGAAGTCTTCAGAATCATCGGTGATCCAACCAGCTCTATGTTTTGTATTGTACCCTGATGCATATCCTTCTCCGTATTGTGTGTTCTTTTTTCTTGCCTTGCCATATTCATGAGGAGCAGATTGGAACTCATAATTTTCCTTTCTTTCCTTGAACACTTTCTTCTTGGGGGTTGATGATTCCCGATTCCACTTATTGACCTTTTGACATACAATAAACACACAATAAGGTAAAATTGCAACGAAGAGATTTAGAGTAGGAAGCAAGAAATGAGCTATGAAGGAAGAGAAAGACAATTTGGAGAAAAGGGGATGGAAGGGAGAGCAAAAGACAGTCGTCAATCACAGATATATAACTCACTATATTGGAATTAGTGCATTCTCGTGCAAAATGCCCTTCTTCGCCACACCTAAAACAAGAACTAAGATGCCATGTACCACTAGTTTCCCCACGAGATCCTGTGCATGCCTGCATTGAACATGTGCAAGTTGAAATTGCAGCATTAAAAGGATTCCTGAACAAGACAAGAGAAACACAGACCCCACACACACAGGAGTCGTGACGTTTCATGTACAACTACTTACCAAACCGGTATGGCCTAGTAGACCACATCTGTAACAGGATATTTCACTTGGACCACCATTGGGGTAGCTTGCACAGCAAAGATGACCAAAACTCTTACAAATGTAACATTGTATTTCCTGTAGAGGTCAAGATGAAAACAGGAAAAGTGATGATTAAGCACGAAAAAAAAAATCAATTTCAAGTTAAAAGTTTCTTCAGCAATACCTTTAGATCATCAGCAGAATAGTTATTCCAGCATGACAGCATATCATGCCCAGAATCCCCACATTTTAAACACATTCTTGAACTCTCAGATCCTCCTTGGCTTTTTTCAGGGCAATCCTTAGCACGATGACCGCCCTTCTTGCAAATGAAACACTCCTTGCCCTGTTCATAATCAGCAGACTGAGATGTATACTCCTAAGACCAAAACTGAAATAGGATTGGAATTTTAAGGCATAGATAATATGTTTGTTTCAAATTCCAGGATAAACCTAATTTCATATAGCCACTCCTCTCGGGTATTCAGAATACTACTGTGCAATATACTATGGTTAGCAAAGAACCTACCAATGACTTCCGAACCTACCAAAAAGATTAAACACAGAAAAAATATGTGCAGTCATGCAACAGATGCACTTCTATGATTCTACAACTTACAACAGTATCTAAGTAGAACACAATCATCATATACTTCACTGGTTCTACTGATGAACATACCCGGCTAAGAAAACAGGGGGACTAGGCGAGTTGATATGAATAACGTTTCAGATAAGGGAGAGGCCAATGCTGAACTATGAAAAATAAAGTTGCTTTGAGGACTGTGGAAAAGACAGAACTTATGATCTAGTTGTAATGTTTGGTCAGAAGCGGCAGTTTAGAAATTAGCAGTTAGCATTCTGGTTCAGCATAGTTGGTCTTACCCCTCTTTTTGTGAAACTCTATTGCCAAGGATTAACACAGTTATATGAATGGCTTCGTTGACATTCATTCACATCAGACATTGTTTTAGTAGGAAGTATAACTAATTCTCACCAAAGATCCAAATTTGAAGTCGACAAACATATAAAGACCCTCTATACTTAATACCATTGACTTGGTGGTGATGTCGTTTGTTTATTGCAGAGAAGTGCGTGTCACAACTGCTTGACTCACAATGTTAGTCAATCAAAAAAATGAAACAGAAGACCAAACTTCCCACTTATCAAATTCAACAATTGTGAGGAGATTAACAAGATGAAATTATCACAAAGGGGACACATAATAATGGTAGCTATTTCAACCACGAACCTTTGTACACTGTTTAGAATTATGATCAAAACTCCCACAAACAAAACATGGTTTTTTGCGTTTGGCTGAAGTACAACTGACTGTCGTATGACCCTCTTCACCACAATTATAACACGTCCCCCAACTGCTATCTGGAGGATCAAAGTATCTGGGCCCCCGCTGAGATCACAGAATGAATAATAAAGTTATAGACCAGCTAAGACATTCAAGAGATTGTTTGGATTTGTAAAAAACAACAGTTCAAATCATATTACTTCAACTCACAAGAAGCCTTCGTAGGACGACACCATTAGACATATCAACGGGATTCTGTTGAGCTGCATTGTCAACAACATTCATATCTATACTAACCACATTTTCACCTTCTTTCATTCCATCCACCTAAAACAGTCAAGAAGATAAAAGAACACATCAGTGATCAAGCTCATTTTTTCTACCATTAGGAATTCATTTTCCAGATTTCCAAATTAAATATGAAAACAAATGCAGATTTAACCTTGCAAATCATTGTAGAAGAGGAAGATTAAACTAACTTTGTGTAAATGATTTTTTGTTGACAAAAGATTAATGTCTCTTAAAGACTTACTTCGGGTTTCAAGGGAATGGGATTACAATTTACATAAGCTTTATTCACATGTTCTGTGATTATTAAAATAATCAGAGAACAACCATCATCGGTATACAATAGAAAGACTGAAAAGGAGTGACATATGGAACAAAAATGCGATGAAGAGGAGCGACATATGGAACAAACAAGATGTTCCAAATTTTTGGTTGACCTTCTTTGTTAGGGTGGCAGAATTCTCTAAACTCACTGTACTGAGAGCTAAACGTGTAGAGTATCATATCAAAATGGTACTATTAGTTATAAAAAATAATTTTTAAAGGGTTTCGTTTGAGCAGGAAACATCAGGACCAAAGTTCCTCCCTGAAGCTACATTAGTAATCCAATTATCCAAATTATTATCAGTCTCTATCACGATTCAGTAACCACTTGTGCCTCTAAATCCAACTTAAGTAAAAAACATTATTACAATAAGGGGTTCTTTTTCAGTTTAACTGTTTTATGTCTTTATAGTTCACCATCTTAAAAACTGTGTCCACTTATTTAACACCAATTGACTGGGTAGTAATTTGACATGTATGTTATAGGATGCTAATCTAAAAGACAATAGATTCAAAACATGAAATATAAGTTCAACTGGATAGCAGAATGGATCATTTTATAGGTCTGAATAGTATAATGAATTAAAATTCTTGAAAGTTGTGCAAAAAACAAGTACATAACAAAATGATCGCTATCTTAAAAATGGACATCTCAAAAAATAGAATGGAAAAGGTATAGCATTTCATCCATTCCTTTCTTTTCCTAAAAACAAATCATCCCAAGACACAATAACTTCTTTTAATGGTAAGTACTTGTCAATCGATCCAAGGGTCTATCCGAAACAGCCTTTGGGTATGCTCTTGTCATTGTTAATGGTGAGAACTATCTTCTTTCGTAGTTATTTCGGTTTTCGACTTTTTTGTGAATAGGTGTCAGTTTGGTTATCAGTTTTCTATTAGCGGCTTAAACTATACTTCCACTCTGTTTATTGGTTTGAGCAAGATAGAGCTCATTTAAACTGAATATTTATGCTGAATTGGTGATACAATGAGCAAAAACACAACAGTGAATATAGAATGTACAAAAACGCCAAACAGCTAAATGTGCAGAAGGCAGAAGCAAATTCACATTACCATAGACATATCACTACAGAAGCTCTGAAACCCCTTATCTATTCCACTTGATACCTGCTGCATAACAAAGTTAAGAAATAACATAAATCAATCAACTTCAAATCAAAACAATTAGTTAAGCTAATAAATAATGCATAAAAAATCATCAATACAATCTCACCAATTTTCAGACTAAATTTAACTACTTACGGGGTCTTCAGGAATCTCAACATTCTTTTCCTTCTTCTTCTTCTTCTTTTTCTCTTTCTCTTTCTCTTTCTCTTTCTCTTTCTCTTTCTTCTTCAAATCTGTAACAACCACAACTTCGCCATTTTCAGTTGAGCACCCACGAAGCAAAGCTTTCTCAACAATTTTCAAGCTGAGATCTTCATTAGCTTCAACATCATCATCTTCATCTTCTTCTTTTCTTTTCTTACTCCGCACTCTCTTAGATTTCTTCATTTTTACCTCTGATAATTCCTCTACCTCCATAACTTCTGATTTTGCTGATTTCTTCTCCTTCTTCTCTCGCTTACCCATTGTTTTACAGTGAAATTCTAATCGATTTGGTTAGGGTTTTAAGCGGAGAAGAAGGGAGAAGAGATAAACCCTAATTTCAAAAATCCCCAATTAATATAAATTCGAATGTAATTAGGAATTATTGGGCCTTCAAATTTTTAAATGGGCTTTTGGAGTGATAATAGAGTTTGGGCCAAGTGCACATATAGCTACTTTGAGAACTATTTAAGGAATAGCCAAATTTTATTTTTGACAATACTTATTAGAAGTAGTTGAATATAAATTTGTTATATTACTTTAGTTATTTATGTTTGTTATTTATTAAAATAATTATAAGTGGTGTGTAATAACTAACTTGTTTGAATTTCAAATTCTATATTAATTGATATTGTTATAATGTAAAAAAATAGCGTGTGGTAATTACGACTTTTTTGACTCTTGAGTGTTATTGATAAAAAAGAAAGGAAGAGAAGGGTTGGTGTTAGTTAATGATTACGGAATTTGAATTAAGTCAGGGCTATAATATGGACTCGGGACGTTGGGATGGAAACAAAAAAAATAATAGTTGACGATTGAAAGTAAAAGAGAAATTAAGTTTGAAAAAATGGTTGTGTCTATTACTCTCTTTATTCCTATTTAGTTGTTACTGTTTTAGATTCACGTCCTTTAAGATGCTAATAACTTTATCACTATACTCTTATTTAGTGTTCTCTTATGATTACTAATTTGATAAATAAACGTTAATAAATTCCTGTTTAATTTTTTTATGTTGGTCAAATTCATATTATCGAAGCTAATAACTCGCAATGGTAAAATAGTGTGAATAACGACATTTATACATTGTTTTGTAAAATGAGTACTACTGTCTCCTTTACTGTTAACTTGATACGCACATTAAGAAACGACAAATATTAAGAGTAATATTACTACATTACCCTTTGAATATAATAATTTTAATGTTTAGCCAAATGAATTAAATGTTGAATCGTATTTAATAGCAAAGGTAAAACAAACAAAACAAAGTAAATTATCTATTGATTTTCTTAAATGGATAAATATTATTAAACAACTATTTTGATTTGTACAGTGAATAAGTAAAAATAGATAAAGATAGTACTAAAAAATATTTACTATCAATAAAAACGACATATAAATAAAAATAAAGCATGAATATTTAAAAAAAAAAAAAATAGACACGACTTAATTAGATTGATATATTATTAAATGTCTTCTTATCCTCAAAAGAGGTATGAAAAACATGGTGTATGAAACTTCTAAATAATATAAAATATTTCAATAAAGCAAAATGCACCTCAAAACCAAAAGAGGAAAAACTATCAATAATAAAATACCTATTAAGGATATTAAGATCTGAATTATTTAAATTTAAATTTGTATTAAGTACAAATAATTAAGGCCCAATAATTTATTTTTTTTGGCCTAAGGAGGGTTAAAATGGCATTATGAGTGTTTTGTTAGCCCTAATCATAAAGGCACAATTGTAATTTGTATGCATATATTACATAATTAATTTTAGTTTGCATTAATGTAAAGTAATGAGATGTATTATTTTTAATAGTAAAAAAATGTCTATATAATTATACAATAGTATGCATAGTACCATAATATAACTTTTACTATTTGTGACTATTCTATGATATTTAGACAAAAAATCATAAGAAATTATAGTACTATGCGGAAATAAATACAAGTCAAGATGATAAAATGGTTTCAGAAAATACAGTTTTTAATTATATAATTTTAAAATGATATAAAATTTATAAAATTAACGATCGATCAATTTATTTATTGACACAATATATCATTGTTCGTAAAATGTAATCTGGATTGAATAACTTGTCATAATAATTATTTTGTTTACAGTATTAATTTAGATACTAATTTTAGGTAATACTTCCGATTAAACAAGCGAGTAATTAATCATAAACATTATCCCGCAAATAAAACTCATAAATATATTAATTTTTTTGATGTTTTGAGAGTTTTCAGTGTAATTTACGACATAATTTAAGAATCATATTTCAAATATGTTATTTATAAAATAATTTCTTTACTAATATATTTACTTTTTCAAACTTGTTGTTAAATGTTTTATCTATATCGAGGTTCGACATCATTCCGTTCAAACTATATCCTACACTTATGAAATTATCATGAATATATCACGTTGCATATTTAATCGATTATCAAATTTACAAAAAAAAATAATTTTTTTAAAGTGAAAAAATAAAATTATAAATTAAAAAAGGTAAAGAAAATGTCAAGTACCCAAAATACCCTTTCTCCTCTTTTTGCAAACAATATTTTCTTTAGCCAGCTTCTGGCGATTCCCTATTTACAATTGATCTCTCAATTTCACTTTCAGTTTTCTTCTCAAATTTACAGCAAAATTAGCTCAAAATTCTCTTCAATTTCTTCATCGAATGACCATAATGACTCCTGCTCCTACCGATGTAAGTCTCACTATTTCTTGACCTCTGTATGATTTTATAGTCAGTACACACAGACATGTTCGTTTGGTTGTTTCAATTTTTTTTTTTGAGTTTTAATTTGTTTTGTGTGTTTAAAATCAGTTTAGGGTTTGTTTCTGCTTGTGGGTTTTTGTTGATTTCAGTTTTTAGTTTATGTTTATTGTTTTTATACTGTATACAGACACATAGACAGGTTCAATTGGCGGATTTTCAGTTTTTATTGGAGTTTTAGTTTTGTGTTTCAGAATCGATTAGGGTGGTGTTTTTGCTTCTGGGTTTTTGTTGATTTCGTTTTTTTTACTTATGTTGGGGTAGCAGGAAGAGGAGGAGATGCTTGTTCCGCGTTCAGATTTGGTATTTGAAGGACCTCAGCCTATGGAAGGTAAAGTTTGAAGCTTTAATTTCTGGTTTGTTTTAGTTTTTTTCAACTATGACATTTCTAGGTTTTGGTGACACTGTACTGGGATTTAATGGTTATATTAGGTTAAAACTGTTGGCAAATAGAGAAATGCAGGGGAAAAGGAAGAAAGAAGGAAGCAATTTGTTTGGAATGATTCTAAGCGATTGAGGGAATATTTTCTTTAATAATTGCGGTGTCTGGGCTTGTTGTTCACCTCAACTAATTTCATGGACTTAGTCCAATAAAGGCTAAGACAGATGGAAAGAGATCACCTAGTGTTTTCATCAGCTATTTGGGATTTGAATCTGAGGCCTCATAGTGCTTGATTCACTCCATGGATCACTAGGCCACACTCTTTGATTAGCTGAGGGGATAGTTTTAGTAGGAAATTCTGATTCCACCTAGTTTTTTTTTTATGGATATTGAAGAACTCTAGGTGAATCCCACATCTACGAAGAGATGTTGGGTATAAGAAAACAAGTCTTAAGACCCTACATGCCTGTTTCAAACCCGTGCAGGCTTAGGTCCTAAGCGGACAATATCACTATTGGGCTGGGCTGTGACGTGTATGAAACACCATAGGTGAATCCCACATCAACAAAACATGGGAGAGATGCTGGGTATATAAGGAAGCAAGCCTTGGACCCTAATGACATATTTTAGACCGTGCGGGCGAAGGGTCAAAGGGTACAATATCACTAGTGGGCTGGGATGTGATTGCTGTACATGGTTGGTAATGGTGAAATCTTGTCCTAACAGAATTTAAGGGTTATGGAGATGGCAGATTTCCTAGTATCTGTTTTGTTTGCGGGTTGTTGTATCAATATGTGCCGGAATATATGATTTCAGTTCTTATTTTGTATGATCATTGTGTTTTCACTATTTTTCTGATGGCGTGTTTGATGAATGACGCGTGGGAAAATTGAAGATTCTTTACCCTTTCCAGTATTTGTTTAAAGTACCAGATCCACTTTGTAGTTTCCGGGGTAACTTAACTTTTCTGTTACATCTCTAGTGTCCTTGGTTATCTATCTACCGAAGTGGTGTGGAAAATGCTCATGTAGCATATGGGCATTTGTTCCATGAATCTGTATTTGCAGATATAGGGACCGGGAAAGGATTACAGACTGCAGCTTAACCATAACCTGCTAAATTTTATGATATTGAGCCATCAGTTGATTGTTCACTATATATTATGCTGATCTCTTGAGAATGGACTTTCAAGTTTTTTTCTAATAGTTCCTCCTTAATTGCTTGTTAGCACAAGCAGAAACCGGCAATGATGTGGAAAAGCAGCCACCAGAGGATCCTCAAACTTCAAGGTTTACTTGGAAGATAGATAACTTCTCTAGGTTGAATGTAAAGAAACTATACTCTGACCCTTTTGTTGTCGGTGGCTATAAATGGTAATGTTAATCTCTCCATGCTACTTGCAAGTTTAAAGCTCTACTTCCATAATCCCATAATGACCTCTTTTCTGCTGTTTTGTTGTGCCAGGCGGATTTTAATTTTTCCCAAGGGGAACAATGTTGATTACCTATCCATGTATCTGGATGTTGCTGATTCAGCTAATTTACCTTACGGGTGGAGTAGATATGCCCAGTTCAACTTGTCAATTGTTAACCAAATTCATAACAAGTACTCCATCAGAAAAGGTACTTCAGTAAGAATCCAAAATTCTGATGATCTCGCTGATAATAGAAAACCAGTTTCAGTTGTTTACAATATGGTGTGCTTGTGCCAATGTTCTTGTATTCTTTACTATGACCTTGGCTGTTGGTTACCTTGTATACCATAAAAGAGGTGATATTTTATGCTCTTCAAAACAGTGTCCACCAGAATAATTTGGTTTTCGGTCTTTTGGCTATACTTTGTTGAGGCGGCAAACATCATATTGTCTTTCTACTATCGATTCATTTTAATGACAAGTCTGAATACGTTTAGCCATGTATTTGGTGCAACCTGATCAGCTCAGTGCATCCCCCCTCCCTCCTAAAAACGGAATTACAATAGAAAACCTTGTTTCCATAGTCGTGGTCAGTAGCTGCTAGACCTGTTTGTTGAGGATCTCTTGACTAACATTTGTTAATAGGAAGTTATAAGTTTTTCTAAGTTATTCCTTAAAAATTTAAATATCAAGTTTTTTTATTCTAATGTACTCTTGCCTGACAATTTCTGTTTTCATTTTCTGCTGCTTTGTGGATTGCTGCAATTTTTGCCTGCTGTTTTTAATTCTATTGTGTAGAGCAGTGTACCCGATTTGGTCCTCCTCCTTCAGAGGTTAAAATAAGCTTTCTGTTGATAGGAAGAGAAGAATAGTGTAACCAATTCTTGAACAGAAATAATGTCTGTTGGTTCTTCGTAAAGAACCTAAGAAATGAGAAGTCAAGAGAACGCAATGAAGCAAAACTACCAAATGCATACCCAAGCTAGTTTTGTTACTCTCTTAGCATTTTGCCTCTGTATTCGAAAGCATGTTAGTGCAACCATAAGTTCTTCCTTTGCATTTATGTGCAAGTTAATACCAAAAAAAAAACCGGGCCCTTGATTCAGTGGGACATATTTGGTCGAATTTCTTGAAGTTATGCTGTTTTGAGATAGTACAACAACTACACCTCAGTTCCCAACAAGTAAGGGTTGGCTATATGAGTCCTCACATGTTTTTCCATTAACGCGAACTCATTCATCATCGTACTAAATACAAATAAAAGTGAAAAGTAATAAATATAAATTAAGAAAATAATTATAGCTGTAACATTTCAAAATATTGTTATAGGCATATAAATCTATGATGGGCCAAAATACTCCCAGAAAAATTAAAGTTTTAAAATCAATGTACTATCAAGACTAATACCTCATTACTGGGGATTGTATACTTTGTTAGGTCTTGATTCCTTTTTCTACTGATTGAAGCTATATTACGTGCTGAACAAATCTCTTCTTTGTTTGGAGTCGATTGATTCCTCAATCAAGTCCTAACTTGAAGTATATACCAAGAAGAAGAAAAATTGTTTGGGTTCGAGGCAAGGTCATTCTCCCCTGTTGTGAAGTTCTGCTCTAGTATCAGAGATAGGATCAACTGTAGTATTGACTCATGCAAATCTGCTTCTCTCAAGTTAAGTTCTATCACTCTTAGTGAGAAAAAATAAGTTGGGAAGGCACGTTGCCTTTATCTTTCCAAGTGTTCCGTAATAATAGTATAGTGGAAAAATTCCACACTTGCACAATAGATGCATGATCTCTAGTTATTTTGAGTTTGAGCTCTTACGTAGTATATGATTGTTTATAATGTAAATGTAGTCAGAGTTAAATATTTAAATTATTCTTTTTTGGCTAGTTCCAGTTTGTGATTTTATTATTGTCAGGCTGTTTCAGATAAGCCCACAACTATTTGAAACTGTCATAGTTGCATTTATGGTCTAGTAGATTTATATAAATGTTATTCTCTCATGCTTTATAGAGACACAACACCAATTCAATGCCAGAGAAAGTGATTGGGGTTTCACATCCTTTATGCCACTTGGTGAACTATATGATCCAAACAAAGGTTATCTTGTTGATGATACATGTGTTGTTGATGCTGAGGTAGCTGTGCGAAAAATTGTTGACTATTGGTCGTATGACTCAAAAATGGAAACTGGCTTTGTTGGACTGAAGAACCAAGGAGCTACCTGTTATATGAACTCACTTCTTCAAACTCTCTACCATATTCCTTACTTCAGGAAGGTTAGCTACCTTTTTTCCATTCTATTATGGGGCTGATTGTTAAATCTGTATTAATTGATTAAGAAATTTGATTTTAAATTCAGGCTGTATACCACATGCCTACAACTGAAAATGATATGCCCTCTGCTAGTATCCCTCTAGCGTTGCAAAGCTTATTCTATAAGCTCCAGTACAGTGACAACAGTGTAGCAACAAAGGAGTTGACAAAATCATTCGGATGGGACACATATGATTCTTTCTTGCAGCATGATGTGCAAGAACTCAATCGTGTTCTCTGTGAAAAGCTTGAAGAAAAAATGAAGGTAAATCAAACTTCAGTTGGTTGTTGGTGCTTCAGTAATTTCTAATTGACATGATCACTCTTTTTCTGCTGTTAGGGTACTGTTGTGGAAGGCACTATACAGCAGTTATTCGAAGGGCACCATATGAACTATATTGAGTGCATCAATGTGGACTACAAATCTACGAGAAAGGAGTCATTTTATGGTTTAGTAGATCAGACAAGCTCCTGATGTTGTCTTCTATAGCCATTTAAGTTTTGCACCTTATGGTGTTCTGTATATATTGTGTGTGGCAGATCTTCAGCTTGATGTCAAAGGGTGTGCTGATGTTTATGCTTCGTTTGATAAATATGTTGAAGTTGAACGTCTTGAGGGCGATAACAAGTACCATGCCGAACAATATGGTTTGCAGGTAACATAGCACACTAGTCTTGCAGTTCCAAGTGCTCCTTGAGTTACTCCGGGCAAAGTTCACATAAGTTTCTATAAAATTTAGCTGCAAGGCTGCAACTACATTTAACGTTTTCTCGTATTTCTTTTTATCTTCTCCTGTTGGTTGATCTATTGAAGGTTTAGGCTATTTTTCCTAGGTTCACTTATCTAATGTTAATATTTGGTTGTTTCAGGATGCTAAGAAGGGTGTCTTATTCATGGATTTCCCCCCTGTCCTGCAGCTTCAGTTAAAGCGCTTTGAATATGATTTTTCACGGGACACTATGGTAAAGGTCAGTTTCAACAAGGCCCAGCAAATTTCCAGTATTTTAATGGTCCACAATATCTAATTTTCATGCTGAAGACTATTCTTCAGCTCTAATGCCCTGCAATTGGAAGCATGGAGTGTACACAGTTTTAGAATTCAAACATAAGGTTACAACAACAGAAGAAGACTGTCAAATCACAAAATCAGCCCAAAATAATGGGAAAACATATTAGGACTTCATCAGAGCTTGAAATTCAGTTGGAAGATCACAAAATTAAAACAAAATTTGATTGGTCAGTCTGATGGATTTATCTTCTAATGAAGCAATTTAGGATTTTCTCATCTAAAAAGCAAGCCGGTAGCAAGATATCTTTAGTTATATCGCAAAACAGTTTTTAGTAAAAGTTCTGTAGATAATGGTTTAGATTTCTGTAAGAATAGTGAAATAGATTAGTTTTAATCGTTCATTTCCATTTATATGATGACTCTCGCATGAAAATGATGGATCCATTCAGATCTTTCTTATTCATTTTCAAGAAGTTTTGACATATAAAGCTAGTTCTCGTTCTCGACATCAGTAGGTTAACTACGTTTGCTTTGTTTAATCACAGAACCATAGCATGTTTTATGAAATCTAGAGAAAAGATGTACTCATTGATTGCCAGTACTTTCATCTTGATGTTAGTTTTACTTAATGATGCTTGAAGAGTATACCTCTGGGGCGCTTATGTATCATCAAAGGTAGTATTCTTCTGTTTATCCTCAAGAGATTAAGTAGCTTATCGTCATCAAAAAGGATAAATCAGCTTATATTTTGTGCTGTGAAGTGTTAGTAATGCCTTTATTTAGTACAAGTTTTGCAGTATTCAGTTGTTACCCTCAATGGTTTTCACAATTAGGGTAAATGGTTGCGAAGGTTAGAAAGATAGAAGCTATTGAGTTGGGGGTTCTTAAAGAGATGTAGAAAGAGTTACGGTATCAGTTCAGGTACATAACCTGCTCTTTGCAGCCTCTGTATGGTAAAGGAAACCAAAAGAAGGATAGAAGGATAATCCTGCTGCTTATGTGCAGGCTCAAGTTGGAAAAAAAATAAATAGGAAGGAATATTGGGCTGCAGCATTGATTGTGGGAAGTGAGTTGAGAAGAAATCTTTTTACTACCAAAGGGAAAATAACCAGTGAACATTAAGCTTGCATTTGGACATGCGATGTGAAGTCATGATTCAAATCAACGTTTGTATATGCTATTTTGATCATGATTTCATATCCCCTATTCTCCAAAAAACATGATTTGGGGATTTTAAATCATGATTTCATTTTTTTAAAATGTAGCACTTGGCCCATAAGTGTATATTTTGTAAAAGAAAACATGTCATTTTATATTTTACATAAATGGACTCGTGCTCGGGGTGAAGAGATTGTCGTACCATGTGAAATGATTATATTAAAGAATTACTAGTTACTACCTTTGTTGACTAGTGGGAACTTTATAAAATTATAACTATTTGAAAGTTTGTTATCACAAACATCTATTTATAAAAAGGAACATGGAGATATGGGGTAATTGATAGTTTTCTCAACTTTGTGGGGTTTTCATGTTTATGTGAAAAAATGTCTTTAAGAATTCAAATTGCATGTCCCAACAAAACTTCAACTTAAAATCAATATGATTTCAGATCACGATTCCATATCACATGTACAAAACTTCAACTTAAAATCAGTCTGATTTCAGATCATGATTCCATATCACATGTCCAGACGGGGCCCTATGTTAAGCGGAAAAAGAAAAGCAAATTATTGTGGCACTGCTGTTTATGTATATCAAATATGCTGTAGAAATTCATATAACACAAACCTGATTACATTAGGGTTTCCTTGTTCATTTTTTTTCAAAGTTCATTCGCCTATAAAACTAGGTCTAAACCTTCCTATTTGTTGAACCTATTAATAATAATTTGAACTCTGATCATTATCACTTAATCAACTAGTGTCAATCCCAGGGTAGTTGAGTCACCTGTGCATAATTAATGGTGGATTTTTTTAAAATTGTGGGTTTGACAGCTAGTTGCTCGTAGTTTCCAGACAATTAATAGAAATTTGATGGCGTTTTTTCCAAACTTAACTATGACTAGTGTTTTGGAAGTCGAAAGGCCATAAAAGGCGACAAGGGTCTGCTTTGCCATGAGGCGAGGCGAACGGCGAGGCGCTCGCTTTTTTGAAGTGTGACACCATTTAATACCAAAAAATTAAAATATTTAATTGCATATGTAAATAATCAAACAATAACATATTAGCAATTTTTTCAATTCAAAAAGTAAAAATAGATAGTACATACCAAAAGTCTAGAACTTGAATGAGAAAGAAAAGAGCAAAAGTCAAAACAAAGGTAGAAGTGACTCAAGTCTAAAGAAGAAAAGAAGAAATATGTATTATGTTAACTTTCTCAAAAAAAGAAGAAATATGTGTTGGTTAGACTTTGGAGTAACCAGAAACGCTTGGCTAGTTGCCGGAGGAGTCTAGTCAAAAATCTTAAAATTACCTTTTAACTTTTAAAACCCTAGATTGATCACCTTTTTTTTAAAGAAAATACAAAACCGACACCTTTCTAGCCTTTCTCGCCCCTTGCCTCTAGCCTTTCGTCGTCATAGCGTCGCCTTTTGAAGATCGCCTCGCCCCAAAGCTAAAAGGCGATGAAGGGTCTCCTCGCCTTGCCTCTTGCCATTGGCGATGAGGCGATCGCCTTTCACAAAAACCGACTATGACCCTGTCATTTAAAGCTTAATGTAGGTGCATGAATTATATGTAGCTCTTTAGAATATTTATTTCTTTTTCTGGTATACCTTTAGATTATTTTGTTCCAATAAGCATTTCAATGATATTTTGATTGTTTTCAGCAAATGTTTTTCTATGTTCATTGCATCTCTTGATCAATATGGTGGTGCTCTTGTTAAAGTAGCGTGTAACCATTGGTGATGCATGTAAAGGGAATTTTCTAAATACAATCATTTTTTCTTCAAAGTTAACCATTTGTAGCTTTAACTGTTCAATGGCCTTGCACATAAGGTGTATCCTTCTTGGCCCTCTGTTTAGACAAAGTACCATCAATAGGATGAGAGTTACAGAAAAAAGTAGCAGAAGTACTTCTCAGATTGCTGATATTCATCAATTGATATGAGTTTATTGTTTGGTGATGCAATGTAGATAAATGACAGGTATGAGTTCCCTCTGCAACTCGATCTAGATAGAGAGAATGGTAAATACTTGTCGCCTGAGGCAGATGGAAGTGTCAGAAACCTTTACACACTTCACAGGTATCAGATGCTCAAGAAAGTCTTCATTATATCTTTTTGTGCTAAAATGTTTATGTAATATTCCAGTTCAAGGCATATAGTTTAGATGCATAACTATTTCCCACTCGGTTCGATGAGACTCCTAATTCTGTAAATGATAGTTAATGGGGGCCCTTAAATTCGTCCCTGAGAAAAATAGGGTCTTTATACCTACATTTAGTCTAGGAGTCTACGTGTCTTGCAGATAGCTTCTAAATTTGGGATTACTTTTCTTCAACAAGACGTGAGTTGTAACTCACTAGATAGTGTGGGGCATTTAGAATTTATATTTTATTTCTAAGTACTCTTCCTTTAAAATTTTTTTTATCATGTCACTCTTTTCAGTGGTAATGGGTTAGCTTCTCTCTTGAATTTTTTGTTTCAGCCATTTGATTTAAACAAACAAGTACATGCTTGTCTTGTGTAGGTGTGCATGCCTTCATCCTTCTTGTTTTGTCTGTGAATGGCCTTACTCAAGAATTGGCTATCTCTTCAGGATTGCAAAGGATTTTACACTGTGTTTATATTATTTTTACTTCAGTAGTATTTCCAAATCTAGTTAAGAGTGCTACAGCTGTGAACGACTGCCTAAAGTACAAGGTTCTCCTGCTCTAATATAAATATTTCCCAATTTCGCTTGGGAATGAGAATGTCTCCGTCTATTTTGTGTGTGTTGTGTTCCTATATTGAAGTTTTGGCTTTGAGTCCTATTTATTGTTAAGTACGAAATAATTTATGCTCTTTATGGATGAGCAAGTAATTCCTGATTATGAAGTTCAACACAACCATGCTTGGCCTAGTCAATTAATAGTTTAAAACTGACTCTTCATGCCTAAATCATATCTCAGATTGTCCACTACTTTAGTTTCTTGTGTATATTTTAAGCTATGAATTCACATATAATTCTTTAGCTCATTTATTTATTTTTCTGGCCTCTTGATCTTTTTCTTTTTTTTGGGGAACTTTTTTCCATCTGCAGTGTATTAGTCCACAGTGGTGGTGTGCATGGTGGGCACTATTATGCTTTCATAAGGCCAACTCTTTCAGATCAATGGTAAACATTTCTGAGTTTGTATCTGTGCTCCTGAACTTTTTGTATGACAGAATCATGCATTCAACAGATGTATCCTTTTCTATTTTTCTGATAAGGACAGTTGTGCTATTTTTTCATAAAACTATCTTCTTACTAATGTTAAGTTGCTTTGCCCTTTTGGTGGCAGATATAAGTGATAGTAGACTAGTAGTTGACAATCCGCTAACAATGTTTTGAGATTCTGCTTTTTAATAGCCACCCATAAATCTTCACATTATTCTAAGGTAATAATTTAATGAACAACAACAACAATATACCCAGTGTAATCTCCCAAGTGGGTCTTGGGGAGAGTAGAATGTACGTATACCTTACCCACTACCTTGGGGAGTTGGAGAATTGTTTCCTAAAGACTCTCGGCACAAGTAACACATATCAAAGCAGTTCTTTAAAAAAAGAAACAAAATACAGAAATAAAATACACAGCAAAAAGTAGAGAAATCATTACATAACATTCGAAAAAAGGACATTAACAACAACAAAATAATGTAATAACTGAAACAAAGAAACAATAGGCAATAACAAAAATCTAAAGGCAAGAAATTACGAGAGATAGAACTACTGCTACCACAAGGAGAAACATGTATGGTGCACCAAGACTATCCTGTAGTGAAGCCAGACAACACTCAACTACCTACTAACCTTCTACCCTAATCTTCGACCTCCCTATCCTCCTATCTAAAATGTCTCCTTGGTAAGCTGAAGATGCACTTTGTCCTTTGTCTAATCAACTCTCTCCAATAGTTCTTCAGCCTACCTCGACCTTCCCTTAACACCTTGTTTGGATGGTTGCTATTCATTGTATTGTATTGTACTCTATTGTATTGTTAGCTTGAATACAATATTTGTTTTGATCGTTACTTATGTTCTATTATATCGTATCGTTTAAATCTATCGTTAGGTCGGGACAAAAAGACCCATTTTATGGAATGATTGATTTGGTGTAATCGCGTCGTTACGTTAATATTTTCTAGATGAGCTACACAAACAGTTAATTGTCTACAAGAAGGCATCCAATCTTTAATAGAAGCAGAAACTTCATAGTACTAACAATAAGAGGTTATCCCTCAAATGTACACAGCTAGGATGTATCCCTTCAAACATTCACCTAGTTCTTTCTTACCAAATGACCCACATGAGAGCCGAAGTATTCATGCCTTGTGTGTTCTCCTCCTCATGAAAGCCATTTACTCTTCTTTTGTTTCCTTACCTGATAATACCTTTGGCCTTTGAATTTACATCCAGTTGTATATAGCAACTTATGAGTTCTTGCTCTTACTGTGCTATAAACCCGGGGATGCAACTTAATGCTTCTTTGGAGGCATCCTAAGCTGTTCTCTGGAGGAGAAATATTTAAAAAGTGCAGGAAATCCCCAGGACTGATGGATATATACGCCTCTATTTGTTGTAATGATAGAGAGACAGAAATACTAGACAGTCTTCAAACAAGAAGTCACATTTAATTAAGGAAGTTACTTTATTGAGTTTAACTTGGGACCTTTTACAGTTTATCATCCTTTCGTCTGTATATAGAACTGTTTTTATTGTATATGATTTTAAGTTACTCATATAAATTGGTTGCCGACCTATTACATCAGCACCTGCTATCACTAACTTGTAGGCAGGATTTCGTTAGAACTTGGAGGTAAATTTACGAAGGAGCCTGTATTTACTCGTAGTGATTGGTTTCGTAAAAGAACACGAAAGTGGCAAGGTTGGCACCTGTTTGAGGGCAAACTGCAATTAAAACACACTTAAGTGGAAAAAAAGCACAGATGAAAAAAGAGCTATATGGACCACGAAATTTAAAATAATTGCTACCAAGCGAAATGTGTGAAACAAAAAAATGGTGTTAGTTAAATCAAAAACTGCTTTAAATTTATGATTCTAGAGAAAAGACTCAAATTTTGGTTCTAATTCAGACGAGTGACTAGTTTTTAATTTTAATTTTAATTTTCTGATCTCCAGTGATTACTTGTTGGAGATCCCTTTGACCTTACAGGAGTTTTTCTGTTGGATTAATTTCTTTGTAATGCTTGTAATTATAAGTTATTTAAAGCTGTGGTGCATGAGATGCTCCTTGTGAGGTAATCTTTGTGAACGAAGCTAATAAAGTTGTTTATAGTTATGGTGCATGAAGTACTCCTTGGGGGGTAATATCTGTGTTTGGCATGGCATAATCTACTAATGGTCTCTTGACTTTTTAGTCCAGAATTTTTTAGGATGAGTATTTTATGATTCAATATTTGGCTAATAGTGTACTTTTAGGTACCTGGATTTTTGAGACTTAAGTTTTGTGCTTTGGATTGAAACATTTTCCGTGTTCTAACATGCCTCTTTTTCTTCCACATAACTCAAAGTTACCTGTTTTTTCAGGTATAAATTTGATGATGAACGTGTGACTAAAGAAGATGTGAAAAGAGCTCTAGAAGAGCAGTATGGAGGAGAAGAAGAGGTGATTCTTGATTTGATTTTACTCATTCACATATTTTCTTTGGATTGCAGATTTGCTGAGTTGTTTTTCATTTATCGTCTCTTTTTAATTTATATAGCAGTTGCCACAAACAAATCCTGGATTTAATAATACTCCCTTCAAATTTACTAAGTACTCAAATGCTTACATGCTGGTCTATATTCGGGAATGTGACAAAGAGAAAATAATGTGTAATGTTGACGAGAAGGACATTGCTGAGCACCTTAGGGTAAGATGCTGACTGCCGCATGAGTTGTTTTACTTTGTGTTGTTGCATTTGTTTATTGGTTTGCTGCTGACTAGACTAATGAACATGTTACAGGCAAGGTTAAAGAGAGAACAAGAAGAGAAAGAGCAGAAGAAGAAGGAGAAAGCAGAGGCACACCTTTACACAATTATAAAGGTATTTTCCTTAAATATTCCACCTTTTTCAGTGATTACTGGGACGAACGAGTGGTGTTTAAGTTGAGAAGTTTTGCACCTAATACATCACTGTTTCAGGTTTCTCGTGATGAAGACCTCAGACAGCAGATTGGGAAGGACATACATTTTGATTTAGTGGATTATGACAAAGTTAGGAGTTTTCGCATTCAGAAGCAGACACTTTTTAGCATTTTTAAGGTAATATGATATTCTTTTTTTTTTTTTGAGAAAGCCAACTTGTATTATAAACAAAAGAATACATACAGAGTATTCTAGTAATACTTACATCCAAAAGTTGCAAAAGGAAAAGAACTCCTATGGAATTGGAGGTCATAAGAACTCTAAAAGAGCTGTATCTCTATTTATGTTCCTAGGAGTTGTCATGTTGTATCTTGATTTATCAGAAGTATTTAATTAATACGGAACCTTTATAAACACTATAGAGGTGGGCGTAGGTTGGAGAAAAAGTTAACTTTCTTAAACCTATGCTTTGATTAGCTTATCCATTCGTGTCTTTGTTTTGGCTTTTTCGCTTATCGCTGGCCAAGGTCACACTAGTTCTGTGTTTTTGTGTCCATTATTGATGCAAATTAGGTTAGGGATCTATATTTTCGCGATTCACTTCCTTAAACTTTAAACTAGGTGAGATCTCTCTTGACTTGTGAAAATAGAAAAAAATATTTGAAATCTGTCTAGACTCTTGAGGCCTTTAAACTTTTTGCATGTAATCAAGCTTAGATGTAGTGGTTACAATGCCTCTGTTGACTAATTATGTTGCTGCATGCAGGAGGAAGTTGCCAAAGAATTTGGTGTACCAGTGCAATCTCAACGTTTTTGGTTATGGGCAAAGCGCCAGAATCATACATATCGTCCAAATCGGCCATTAACACATCTCGAAGAAGCTCAAACTGTAAATACTTTATTTAAATTTTTTAGACAGATCAAGTAAACTGTCCTTTTACCAGGATGTTTATTGACTTAAACAGGATGTTCTATACATTAGGCTCCTCATCTAGTGTTTGTGGACGCTAAAGAGTTGTAACCTAGTCCAACAAATCTAGGGTGAATACTGAATTTACCTGTATACATCAGCAACAACTATGTGTCAGTCCCAAATAAGTTGGGGTCATCTATATGGCTCCTCATTTCGCCATTTAAACTTAGGTTGAACCCTTATTTCTAACAAAAAAACAAAGAAAAAAGGATCTGCCTCCTTAGCAATCTATCTGCTGTGCCAAGATTTGCTCTCTTCATGGGATACTGATGTTTATTTATAATTTGCAAAGACAATATAACTTCAAAAGGTGTGACTCCGTTTTAAGGTGATTTAAATCAGGACATCACTGATCCCCACAAACCCCTACCCAAAGTCATGCTGACAGATCTCTGTGTTTGCTTAATTACCTGATAAGTGCTCCACAAATTTAGGTTGGACAGTTGAGGGAAGCGTCAAGTAAGGTTCAGAATGCAGAGCTAAAATTGTTCTTGGAAGTGGAGCTTGGACTGGTAAAATATTCTTCACAATAATTTCCAGTGAAATGCTAATATAAAGTTTTTCTATTTATCAAGCATTATTTAATAGCATGTGCATAATTACAAGGACTTGAGACACATCCCTCCACCTGACAAGACTAAAGATGATATTATGCTATTCTTCAAGATTTATGATCCTGAGAAAGAAGAGCTGAGGTAATATTGATTATCTTCTTTAATGTTCATTTTAATTAAACATTTTTTTTGTTGATTGGTGATTTGTCTCTTGTACTGAAGGTATGCTGGAAGACTCTTTGTAAAGGGAACGAGTAATCCAACTGAAATCTTGAACAAACTAAATGAAATGGCTGGCTATGCCCCTGATCAAGAGATTGAACTATATGAGGTTTGTTCGTAGAATATCTCTGGGTATTATTGATGGTCATTCAGTGACTATCATGACTTTTTTGGAAATTAGAAGTTTTAAAGATGCGATAGATAGACATCCATGCCATTCCAGAACTTGCAGTTGCTCTGACAACTGTTCCCCTTCCAGCCTTGTTATGCTGGTCATCAGCCAATAGTATCTGGATCTTCTCCCTTTAGCACATATGCTTACACTTTTCTGGTGTCTAGGTCCAAGACTAAATAAATGGCAAAATGTCTTGGCATTTCTTCTTCGCAGAGTTGTCGAAGTGGTAGCTTTCAAGAGTTGTAATTTTTACTCTTTTTATGGTTTATAGATCAAATCCTTGGTTTAGATTCGTTTGCAGTTCATGAGAAACAGAAGATTCAATTCCTTTGTAGCTAAACAACAATAGGAATGTAAAATATATATGTGTAGACCGAGAAAACTTAAGACTTTAAACTGAAGTTCAGAAGAAGACCAAATTGGTTAGAAGTTTTGTTACAAAATTTCAGACGGCAGATATTGTTAGGGAATGTAGTGTTAGGACTTCCAATTTAAAGGAAGAGCTTAAAATAAAATGACCACTATGTGGTCAAACTTCTGGTTCCTCTAGAAGCTTATGTTCCTGATTGGTTCCTTTACAAATTTAAATCTTACCTTCTATTTTGCATTGTGTGGGGGATAAACGTATGTCTAGGAGCTTATTTCGTGATGAGATCTTATGCAATCTATCTCGACATGTCATAGAATCCATATGATCTTTAATTCTTTTCTACTGTTTCTGGTTTGCTTTTGGATCAGAATCACTTTCCATAATTTGGAGACCTAATAATGCCTAGAGCATTCTAACTATCTTTAAGGAGACTATGTTTGGTCGTTTCACTTGTTCATTTGTTCTAAACCTCACATTTGCTTAATTTTGTTCAGGAAATAAAATTTGAACCGATTGTCTTGTGTGAACCCATTAACAAGAAATTTGCTTTCCGAACGAACCAGGTATACCTAATTACCATAAAGTGTGTAGTGGCAGGATTTTTCATTGATTTGTCTGATACTCATTTTTGTGCAGCTTGAGGATGGTGATATAGTATGCTATCAGAAATCCCTTTCTCCTGAAAGTCGCCAGAAGTTACGGTATCCAGATGTTCCTTCTTTCCTGGAGTATGTTCAAAATCGCCAGGTAATCTATGTATAGATTTATCAGCTATTTTCTCTTCCATTTTGTCCTGTTAGTTACGTTTTCAACATTGCTGGTAATGGAGAATGGGTATTGTTTTTTTGCCTTATAGATAATGGGATACTGATTAGTGACCTTAGTCGCCCAGATTACTTGTGTCAAACTTAATAGATGAGAGAGAGATGTTTTGGGAAAACTTAATTGCTAAAGAAGTTTTTGATAGGCATATCTGCTGAATTTTAATATATCTTCTAAGATTACATTGTTTGGGCTGGTTTCTTTTGTTTAGAAGCTCTGTAGTAACTCAGAGTCTCAAATTTCCATGAAATATTTTAATCAGTGTTGCAACGAAAAATGATTGCTTAGATTCGGTCACTGACCCTGCTAACACAGGATGATTTGTGCACTGTGCTTCCCTTTAAGAAAAAAAGTTGTTTACTGAAATTTGATGATAAAGAAAAACGGGGTGGCTTGTATAAAATTTTCTCACTAGAAGCTAAACATGGACGCCACCATGGCAGGTTTGATTTTTTGGAATATAATACAAGACTGTTGCCTTCTCAAAAAAATAAATAAAGTGTAAACCTTACTTGAGTAGAGAAAATAGGCAGTTCCCGACTAAGTTGCTCTTACTCTTCAATTTTGGTGCCGCACCCGTGTCGAAGTGGGGAGGGGGTCTTCGAGGCACAGCGCCCCGGGTTTGTGGTGGGGGGGAGGGGGACCTTGGGGCACCCACTTTGTTCCTTGCGTTTACTATAAATAAACAATTTTTGGATGTACTATTTACCAACATTCCCTTTTGCTGGTTTACATCTATAATACACCTTCATTACTTATTTAAAAAAAGTTTTTACTTGTGGTTCCCTGGTAAAAAAATCAAGTTCTGTTTATAATGACATGAGATGGGTTAAGCATAAATAGACCTTACTTCCAAAAGAAACTTTGTGATGTCCTTATCCTGTTCCATATTCAATGAAATATGACACTGAAATTTGTCTTTGGCTTAACTATTTATTTGTTAAATATTTTATGATCTACTATAATATGTCTTACAGGTGGTTCACTTCCGATACTTAGAAAAGTTGAAGGAGGATGATTTCTGTTTAGAGCTGTATGTTCTAAAACTTTGCTACTCTTTTTTTTCTTTTTATTATATATTATAAAGGTAGAGTAGATGATTCACCTCTAGGTTTTATCTTTATTACTTTCTCAAGCATTTTATTGTTATGAAAAGGTCAAAGATTAATACATATGATGAAGTTGTGGAAAGAGTAGCTCAGCGACTTGGCTTGGATGATCCATCCAAAATAAGGCTCACACCCCATAATTGTTACTCTCAGCAACCTAAACCCCAGCCGATCAAGTACAGAGGTGTTGACACCCTTGGAGATATGCTGGTCCACTACAATCAGGTGAATTTTAACATTGACTAATAATAATGAACATTAGTTTCTGAAAGTCTTAACTATTTTAACTACTCGTTGACAGACATCTGATATTTTGTACTATGAAGTACTGGACATTCCTTTGCCAGAATTGCAAGGTTTAAAAACCTTAAAAGTAGCTTTTCATCATGCTACCAAAGATGAAGTAAGCATGCTGCTCTGATTTCCATTGATTTACGAGCACAATTTTTTACTTCTGAATTCTTGCTTTGATAATTACTTAAATTTCTCCTCCTTCGCTATGTAGGTGGTCACTTACACTATCAGACTACCAAAACAATCTACTGTTGGTGATGTAATTAATGATTTAAAGACGAAGGTAAAATGGTAAACTCGGTCTGATATTCCCTACTTTCAACGTGTCTGTGAACTGAAAACTTACTATTCTCCTTTATTGATGCTTCTATATTGTTAGCTTTACTTGATGCTACTCTGCTATGCTGCATAATAGGTAGAGTTGTCAAATCCAGATGCAGAATTAAGATTGCTAGAGGTCTTCTACCACAAAATTTATAAGGTATTGGTTTCAATCCCTCAACATTTGCTTCATTTTATACTTCTTAGCTAGGTCTTCTCTTTTTGTCGCCATAAATATTTGCCTCCGGAGAAGTCCTAGTCGTTATGACATAAGCTCAGAAACTCTTTAAGTCTACAAATAATAGAAATAGTTAACCAATATATTTGTTTGTAGACATTGTCTCTATCTCCATTATATTTACCTCTTGTTTTAATGATTGCTTTCATGCAGATATTTCCAACAAGTGAGAAGATAGAGAACATAAATGACCAGTACTGGACATTGAGGGCCGAAGAGGTTCTCTCTTACACACGCTTTTCTAATTCTACACTTCTGTCCCTACTATATCTGCATGTGGCCTTTATACAGTGGCCATTGTGGTGGGTAAGGTAGTGAGTTTTCCTATAGTCAAAAGCTTGAACACAAATTGGTAGTTTTCCTGTGGTCAAGAACTTGAACAAATATTTGTAGTGTTCCTGTGGTCAAAAGCTTTTATCCTTCTCTTCCTCACCCCCTTCTCTCAAACTAATTACCACATATAGATGCAGCTGACTTTGACTTACAAGTTGGTCATAAAAATGACTGAAATCATGTAGGGCCTTTACAAGCTACTGCTGTCATTGATAGTCTTATGATATAGATCTATGAATCTAAAGAATAGTGGTGTGTAAAACCAGACCAGTGTAGTCAAAGGCACGTTTAAGCCCTGAAGCGAGGCTCAAAACGTATTGAGCTCTTTGCCTCGTTTTATGTGCGCTTCGGTGTTGTCATCGAGGTTCTAAAACAAACGTTTTCTTCCCGATGATCCTCTGCTAAATAAGTGAAACTAAACAATTGATATTTCACTTTATCATAATTGTTTTTCATTTCTTTGGTCATAAACATATAAATTTGTATTTTTTTTCTTCCTTTGAGCCCTTTTTCATTAAAGCCCGGGCTTTGTGCTTAAAGTCCCCACGGACCTTAGAGCTTTTTTGTGCTTTTCGCCTTCGATAACACTAAAGCAGACGAGAATAAGGTTTTAGTTTTTTTGATATCATCTGAATTTGTGCTGTAAAGAAAGAAAATGGACCTTGAGTTAATCCCCCAAAATAGACATTTGGTGACCGAGGCAAATGTAAGGCTAAATTTGGGGCACATGATCCTGTTTTCTCACTGTAAAACTAGGTATTTTATGTATATATTTCATAAAATTGGTATAATGTTCTCTTTTACTACTATTGCTACAAGAAAACTAAATTGTGCACTTGGTTGAATGTTGTTACCTAGAGCTAGAGGTCTAGGTATCAATTCCCTCTTAATACATTTTCTTCTTCCTTTTTTAAGTGGTAAACCCGTGTTCTACGAATCCTAGATTTGTCACTGATTATTGAGGATTATCCAAAGACTATTTAAGGAGACAACATTCCATTCCTTCAATCAAAGTGCGACACTTAACATCCCAACACTTCTAGGGTACATGTGGAGTGTGGACAATATGGCATAGAAGTCCAATAATAGCGAATGCTAAATGTCAGGTGTTGAATATTATTGGCATGTTACTCCTTAATAACTTCCTTGACGATAAATATGAAGCGGCAACTCAATTACCTGTCTAGGGCCAAAAACACTATTTGACACTGTTAAATTTCAGTTTATTAATCTGAATCTTCTCTTCGTCCCTGCAGATTCCTGAAGAAGAGAAGAATCTAGGCCCGAATGCTCGTTTGATTCATGTGTATCACTTCAGTAAAGAAACTGCACAAAACCAAATGGTAAGATTCTCTTCCCCCGTATCCTGACCCACAGGGAAAAGGTGAACGAGAGAAAGGAATTTTGTCTCATGCAGCTTTGTTTACTTCTTGACATTTGAAACAGCAAATTCAGAATTTTGGGGAACCTTTCCTCTTGGTTATCCATGAGGGTGAGACTTTAGTTCAAGTGAAGGTGCGAATACAGAAGAAATTGCAGGTCCCAGATGAAGAGTTTGCTAAGGTACTTTGCAACTTGACATTGCTTCATCTTCCTATGAATGGCTATTATACTCGAACCAATTTACTATAATCGCTTCCTATTTTTACTCGTTTATTGGTTAGTACTTGGTTTCCTTTATCTTATTTTGTTTGTTTGGGGGAGGGGAATCGGGAATGGTTTGGATTAGTATGTATGTAGTTGATGCTTGGTTTCTTATTTTCATTTTATACAACTTTCAGTGGAAATTTGCATTCCTCTCACTTGGTCGTCCTGAGTACCTTGAGGACTCGGATATATTGTTCAACCGTTTCCAGGTACTAAACACCAACTCCCTCCACCGCTAAAATTCTCACTAAATGAATCTGTAATTTTGCATCTTTGGATCTTTTTGTTAACATGCAGCGAAAGGATGTTTATGGTGCTTGGGAGCAGTATCTTGGCTTGGAACATTCTGACAATGCCCCTAAAAGGATTAATGCAGCATATCAGGTAATCTGAATGTTCGGTTCTTACTCGTGGGCATACTCTGTAATTGGTAAAGAAGAAAAAAATTAACTGCTTTAATACATAAAGTTAGTTCCAGAGAGAGATTTGACTCGTGGAGTGGACTCTTGAGGTTTCTCTATCATGACTTTGGTGGGTTACGAGACCAGGAGTTCTCCTTCTGTGCAGCCTATGTTCCATAGTTATCATTACTCATCTAGCACTTCAGAGAATTTCCATCTGTTGAGGATGAAGACAAACTTCTAATGACTTTTTAAGATTTATTTGATTTTCTGTTGAATACCTCTGCTTCTATCGGCGCTTCGCCTGGGAGCATAACCTAGTTACATTAGTAGAATCTCTGGAAGGAATTGGAGAGATCAGATTTCTAGTATAGAATGCAAAGCTGGCTTAACAACCGTATAAAATGTTGATTTTCCGATTGAATGCATGTACAAATTGCAATGATTTACTTCAATGTGCTCCTGCTCTACCGTTTCTTTGTTTCTCCATGAGATGAACTTTGGTTACTGTGAATGTCTCTAGCTGTACCTGTCCTTACTCTACTGTATTCAAATAAATGGGAGTGGACCTCCTCATTTCGTAATAATACCTACTCTTTTCTTCCATGTTGCAGAATCGCCCGACGTACGAGAAGCCTGTTAAAATTTACAACTAGTAACGCCGCTGAAAATGAAGATTGTGAGATGGTTCAAATCTATGATTGACCATTGCATTTGTCCCTGAAGTTAAGAAGCCAGTTCGAGTCTGTACAGGGTTTTATGATTTTTGTTACTGAAGCATCTTGTATTCTGATATGGATGTGAAGTTTGATCCTAATGCAGCATCCATATCTCAGTACTTGAACTCAAGTGATGCGTAAATGGCCCATCGATAACTCTCTCTCTGTTCTAGTGTAAGTTAAGCGAGCCATACATTGGCAAAGAATTTTGAACAAATGAATGAATACATAATATATTGTGCTTGATTCAGTTCTGACTTTTATCTGAGGAGAAGAGTACTACTCAGTTTTCTGCCATTTTTTGGGCTCTATAGATGTGATTATTTCTGGTAGAGATTTTGAGGTTTTTCCCTCTGAAATTGTGTAACCTTAAGTTTGGTAATTTCTTGCTATTGTAATTAACCAGTAATTAAGAATGACAAATTGTTTGTCACAAGTATCTGTTGAGTTTTTTGTTTTTGTTTGTATCTAGAGCTGTATTTGAAAGGAAACGATGGATAGATACAAGTTTTTCTCCAGTTCTAAAGTTCTCATATGGTGTATGGAACGCGACTAATTTGGATTCGTGTTGAGATGTTCAGTAAAATGCTTTTTGTCTATTAAATTGCAAAATCTCTACTTGTGAATTTTCATTAAATGTTTTCTAATTTTAATGTTCTCTCGATTAAACATAATAAACAGAGTTTTGTGAATATCTGTATATATATAAAAAAGAAATACTAAAAATTATAAGTCCTTTATGTACATTTAAATTTTGATTTTTCTTGGAAAATACAGATTAATCCAATTTCGAAACGAATATCAAACGCCTAAAAAAAAGAAAGGAAAAAAAAAAGAGAGTGAACATAAAGGAAGCTCTGAGCTCCACATATTAACTTCCAATGGCAACAATACTCTCTCGCTCATCACTCTATCCCTTCCATTCTCTCTCTTCTTCAACAACAATTTGTTCATCCTTATGCCCTTTTACTTGCTGTCCTTCTTTTCCAACAAAGCTTGAATTCCCAGTCTTGTCAACATCATGTTTTTCCCAATTTCACCAATTTTTCCCTTTCCCCACAAATCATCATCATCCCATTTTGCTCTTTGTTGGTTTTGATTCTCCCCCTTTGGATACTCAAACTTTTCTTGCCACTATCAGTGTTTTAACTGCCATTGCTCTCTCCCTCTTTCTTGGCCTCAAGGTAAAAAAAAAGAACAAAAAAAATCTTATCTTGATTTTTATCATAAGGTTTCATAAAGTTCCTTTTTTTAATTGCTTTTCTCAAAGATACTTGCTTTCAGTTTATGGGTCAATTTCTTTATCTTGGGTGTCATAAAGTTCCTTTTTTTTATTGATTTATCAAGCTGTTTAAAGTTTTGTTAAATTTTAGTTTATTTGTTATTATATTTGCAGGGAGATCCAGTTCCTTGTGATAGGTGTGCTGGGAATGGTGAGCCCTTTTATATATTTTGGTTTTAATTACTGTTATGTATGTATGTTTATGTGTGTGGTCTATGTGTGTGTGTGTGTGTATATATATATATATATATGTTCTTCATATAGATTGATGTAATTGAGCTAAGGAAAAACTATCTGTGCAAGTCAAGTCCAACTGTTGAATTAAGAATCTGTTATGGATTCCAAGTTGTAAGATATCTCAGTCCATAAGCAATACTAGTTAAAAAACTATTTCAGTGCTTGAAAGGTTTCATAAAATCGTGTAAGAGTTGTTATCGTGATCAAAACTAGACAAATGACAACTTATTGATATGGTAAAGCTTTACAGGATTGTTTATAAGCTATAACGTAGCCATTTGACGCTGTATCAATAACTAGTAAGATGTTTTGGATCCTGCTTTATTCGTTTATGCAGGCAACTATTTTTTCGGATTTTTGATATATAACTCTAAACAAGCGGATTGATAAATATGTTATCTTCATGATGGAGTGAGTGGAAGGGCATGTTTCGATTAGCTAGGCATGCCTGGCAAAGGCATGTTCAGGATGTGGTGTGAACTTTTAAATTTATGACGTATTTTGGATATCGATTTTGTTTTAGGATTTTATTATGTGTGCTTCATCATGAGAAATGCAACAATCCTGCAGTCAATATACAATAGATCAAAACTATAAATAATAAAAGCAAAGTCTAATACTTCCTGCAGTCTTCATTTCTTCCCTAGGCTAACAGCTTCTAGAAGGTATTAACGGAGGATTGTTTGGAGAAAGGTGCTAATGATTCTGTTAGTAATCGTTGAGAGCATACTGATGTTATATATGTTAGTTTCCGATTAGCTGCAAACCCAATGGTTTGAGATTAACCACTTCACCGGTGCACTAAGTGGATTGCTGACCCTCGCTTATGGGCTCCGGATCTCCATTTGCCCTTTGGACCATTCTGTATGGATTGAAGCAGTCCTCGAGGGCGTGGTTTGAAAGTTGAGTAAGGTCTTACTTTAGTTTGGCTACAAAAGGTGTGATTCTGGTCACACGCATTTTGTACTAAAGGGTGAGAAAGTGAGCCAGATCATAGTAAAGACCTTTGCTTCTTGTTGTTGTTTTCTTTCTTTTTTTACTTAATGCATCCCCAAAAAACCACCCCTCTTTTTTCTTGAAGAAAGGGGGCAGCGAGAGGAAAGTTTCGATATCTTTCTCATGCAGTCAATTCTGTTTTAGTTTTTAACATCACAGATGAAACTATCGAAAAGGTTTAACACAAGCAAATAAGTGTACAGCGATGTGCATATGCTCGTCTTACAGATTTCATTATGCTGTCGTTGTTCTTCCCTTTTCGTTCCTTAAGGGCAAGAAGATTCAAGTTACTAATAACTTTGTTTGGATGTGTAGGTGGGACAAAGTGCGTGTTTTGCAACGATGGTAAGATGAAGAAAGAAACAGGATTAGTAGACTGCAAAGTTTGCAAGGGTGCAGGTACTATTCAGCTGCAATTTCTTCGCGCTACCAATTTTTAGTAATCGTTCAGTTTGGAATACTTATAGCATGTCTAACAGATTTAGATGAACTCTCGAATTTGGATTTTAGATCATATGAATGACATGAAAGAACTTAGATAATCCTTTCCCATCTGTCAGGCTTGTATATACCCACGCTCCTGTTTATTATTTTCTAGAACCTCAGGAACTATGTTTCCGACTCACCCTTGGCTTTCTCCTTAGGTTTGTCAAGCCAACCTGACATGTTCAGATTGGAACACCTCGACGATGATGTAGTCAAACTAACATTTTTTCTCGAGTAGAATGCATCGAACGATCATTATAATAATTTTTTTATTGCAGGATTAATACTCTGCAAGAAATGTGCTGGTTCTGGATACTCAAAAAGGCTATAACATATACTACTTGTACTCTTTTTTCCTCTAGCTATTGACTTGTGTTCTGAGGCTAAATCACACATACAAGCTCACATATGAGGCTATCTCATTTTGGTTAAATTATATATTTTTCTTGAAAAAAGAAGGGTTACTAGTACTTTTAATCCCTCGATTATTGGTAGATTATATCTGTCTAAGCACATTTAACCTTTAGTCAATTGAATGTTATAGCTCATTACAATATGATGTATTTTGTCAAATAGCATTTGTCTTCACACAAACTTTACAAGTAATTGTTTTGCCAATTGACTTATTTTTCTTTGATCATCATTTATTTTGTTCCAAACCTAATCCATATGTGACAAACAAATACAAACTTTGATTTTATTATATTCTTTTTGTCTTGCTTATCATCATCAAAATGGAACAAAAAACCAAAAAAAAAAACCACCCTCTATTAACTTTTCCTTTGTATTTTCTCCTATAATCCTCTATTTTAACACACACTAAGGCACATTATCATACACTAACAATAAAACACATTGAGAGTTTGTTTGTGTATATGGAGGATAATAAATATGAAGTTGAAGAATGTAGAGGTGTACTTTGGGTATATAGTGATGGAACTATACTTAGATTAACTAAGCCAAGTTTTGAAGTTCCTATACATGATGATGGCTCAATTCTTTGGAAAGATGTTGTGTTTCAAGCCATGCATGATCTTCAACTCCGGCTCTACAAGCCGGCTAACCCTACCTCATCGGCTAAGCTCCCCGTCTTCTACTACATTCACGGGGGTGGTTTTTGTATCGGCTCTCGTACGTGGCCTAACTGTCAGAACTACTGTTTCAAGCTAGCTTCCGAGCTCCAAGCCGTGGTTATCTCTCCTGACTATCGGCTTGCTCCTGAGAACCGGCTCCCAGCCGCTATTGAAGATGGTTACGCGGCTGTGAAATGGCTTCGGGACCAAGCCGTGTCTGACGAGCCGGACACGTGGCTTACGGATGTGGCCGACTTTAGCCGAGTTTTTATTTCGGGTGACTCGGCTGGTGGCAACATCGCGCATAATTTGGCACTACGACTTAAAGCCGGCTCAGCTGAGCTGGATCCAGTTCGAGTTAGGGGTTATGTTTATTTGCTTCCTTTTTTTGGAGGGACTATAAGGACAAAATTTGAAGCTGAGGGGCCTAAAGATGCTTTCTTAAACATTGAGCTTATTGACAGGTTCTCAAAAAAATTTCATTGTTTTTATTATATGTTATATTTATTTTTTTCATAAGCAAATAACTTCAATTGCATTTGTTTTAAATCATAATTTAAATAGTTAAAAGATAGAAGAATAAAGATTGTACTAAAGTTATGACAAACTTGTGAATAATTAAAAAAATATGCAAAGTATGTCATTTTTGAAAAAAAAAAAATTACGAGCGATTTATTAGTAAAATAAAAGAACAAATATTGTACTTATATTGTACTTGATCAAAACTTGTGGACAGTTAAACTCAAGCAAGGTCTTTGACAAACTTTTTTTCGAACCCCCCCCCCCCCCCCAACCAATACTGTGAGAACAAAAGTTAAAACACCAAAAAATGAAATGAACTTGAACCTATTTATCCAAGGACAGTTCGATGCACAAAACATCATGTATTAGCTGGATAAGGGAAAGGACCGCAACCCAAAGAATGTAATACGTAGACAATCTATCCTAATTCAAATATTAACGGAATATTCTACGACTTGAGCTTGTGACCATTAAATCGTAAGTTACATGTAAAAGGGCTATTTTCTTAATTTGTGTGCTATTTTTGTCAATTATAGGTTTTGGAGGCTATCAATACCCATTGGATCAACCACTGACCATCCACTTGTGAACCCCTTTGGGCCTAACAGCCCAAATTTGGAAAAAATTGATCTTGATCCAATTCTTGTGCTTGTTGGAGGATGTGATCTTCTTAAAGATAGAGCCAAAGATTATGCAAACAAATTGAAGAATTATGGAAAAAATATTGAATATGTGGAATTTGAAGGACAACAACATGGTTTTTTCACTATTAATCCTAATTCAGAATCTTCAAAGAAGTTAATGCTCATAATCAAGAAGTTCATTCAAGACAATTCTTCTTAAGATTTAAAAAAATAAAAATTGCCAATAAAATTTGTTATATTTTTATTAAAATGTAATTCTTCTTTTTGTTTGATTTGCTTTTTGTTTTGTTGTAATGTGTGCATTTTGCTCTATATGTAGTAGTTTAAATTAATGGGTCTTTTTTATATTATTTATGAGTGTGAAGTTTTGGTCATGTATGCAAAGTCATAGTCTACATTATTAGAGTATTTGTGAATCAAAAAATAAAATTTTGTAATGAAAAAAACTAGAAGATGAACAATATTATAAAGTGATATAACAAGGATATCGAGAAAAATTATGATATATAAATTTTAAGTTCATGTAAAAATGATGAAAGTTCAGAATAAAAGATCGAATTTTAGGTGTATACGCCTTTAGATATTGGGATGTCAAATTTCACGCTTTCAATGTTTGAACTTCAGACATACTGTGTCAGATCTTTTTAGTAATGTAAATAGAAGTTTAAACTCTTAAATTAGAGTACTAAAGACAAATTTCAAATACAAATCGACAAGATTAACTTCAAACATTTACGTTAAAAATCCGTATACGCATGAAAATTATATTCATTTAAAATGAATTCTCTCTTTTCTTTTGGAAGTGCCTTGAACAGTCTGAAAGGTACCAAGCATACATACCAAAACAACCGGAGATCAGTTTTTCATTATTAAACAAACTGAAAGTCTTTGAGAAAAGTAAAATCTTCTTTAAATTTGACATTGGAATAGATAGAATAACAACAAATAACATCTTTCTAGTTTGTATATTCATCGAACTCAATCTCGTGAAGTCGATTTAAAAGTGGCTAAATTAGCAAAATTTCATACATTGTGACTATAACTTAAATAGTAACATGAAAATTGGCTCCATATAACCATTCAAAATTTTCAAAATTCTTCTCAAACGGTCTCTTCCTTCTTCTTCTTCTTCTTCTCTGCATTTTGAAATTCACCCCCACCCCCCTACCCCCACCCCACCACCCCACCCACCCCAAATCTCCATATCTCTTCCTTCTTCGTTCAACAGCTAATTGAAATCTCCATTTTTGTTTTGCCCGAAAATCTCTTCAGTTTACTGAATCTGAAAACCTAATTGTCAGAAAATGCCGTTGTTTTCTGAGCCTCCGAGTGTTGTTAAGTCCAGATTCGGGTCACTAGATCAATCTGCAGCAACTCCGATGGATACTGCGTCGGTGACGATGTCGTCGGTGAAGAGTACTCCTAATCTCAGATTGTTCAAATCAGCTGCTAAGGATAACAGGGTTGAGTTCTCTGAGAACAAGGATGTGGTGGAATGTAACCGGAGTTTTGAGTTCCGTGAAGATCCTTCGTTCTGGAAGGATCACAATGTTCAGGTAATCACTCTCGTTTTCATAAACCTCATTTCTAAAAATGATCAGTTTTAGAATCTGTACGTAGTAAGAAATTTGGACTCGTTAACACTAGCAGCGCTAGGATTTTCACTAAGGAGTTTAAAATACGAAAGAGTAAACAGGAATAATCCAAAAAAGGGTTCAACTTGTACTCTATATACATGTTGAATGAGTGAGCATCTAACTATTTATGTTCTATTGATTAAGACATTAAATGAACATTTCTGGTAAGGTACACTTCTTTTTTTTTTCTTCTAAATTTTGTTTTTGGGATTGAGGCTTAATCGTTGTTTCAGAAATTTGGAGGCTTTCTAAGTTGTTTCCCAAAAATGATTCAACTTGGAGCAAGGGTCAAAATAATCTAAGCTTAGTTTTGATTTAGGACCTCTCATTCATTGATATTATGAATTCGAAGTATGTATATTCAAAGTTATATAAACTGGATGTTTAAAAACTAAAATGTTCTCAGATATGGTCCAGAAATTCACAGTCAAATAAAAGTTTACCATAAATTGAAAATTCTGTTCAGTGAGTTGCTAACCATCTGACTATTAGAGTTTATGGTTTATATTAATGAATCATAGAACTTAAATTACTCATGAAGTTGGTTTCATCTGTATGACTTATTTTATGCAGGTTATTATAAGAATACGCCCCTTGAGTAACTCTGAGATATCTTTACAAGGACATGGTAAATGTGTGAGACAAGAAAGCTCTCAGACAATCACTTGGATAGGGCACCCAGAATCACGTTTTACATTTGATATGGTTGCTGATGAGAATGTCACTCAGGTTTGCTTTTCTCGGCTATTGTCTTTCATTTTTCATGTATCTTTGGTGTGGTCTGTTCTCATTTCATTACATTAACTAACAGGAGATGCTCTTTAAAGCTGCTGGAGTACCAATGGTGGAAAATTGCATGGAAGGCTACAATAGTTGTGTGTTTGCCTATGGCCAAGTATGTTGCTCAGTTACATGGCTTAAGATCTCAGATATCAATTTTCATGTCGGAAATGTTAAAAAGATTTGAACTGTACACTGGTTTTATATTTAGAAACTCTACGTCTCTCTTTGTAGACTGGAAGTGGAAAAACACACACCATGCTTGGAGATATTGAAGGAGGCACCCGAAGACATAGTGTAAATTGTGGTATGACACCTAGGGTGTTTGAGTACTTGTTTTCAAGAATTCAAAAGGTACGGATATTGCATTTGTAATAAATGATTATTATCTTTTGTTTTATCAAAATTTTATATACTACCTCACATTGTGGACCAGAACCACAGATGACTTAGTTTGAGTAAGCAGGTTTGTTTTGATATAATAATGAGAGGAAACCTTGATCTTATCTGAATGAATCAAATTATTGCCTATGTTATTTTCATATGGAAAATTAAAAATTTGTTATTGATCCACTTTAATGTCACAGTGTTGGGTATAAGTATTAGATATGGGTATGTGTGAAATTAATATAAGTTCAACTTCTAGCTGCTTGTTTCTTAGTTTTCTCTTCCTTTTTATTTTTATTTTTATAATGAAGTCCCTATATGTGTTGGTTTGTATAATATAGATGCACCTTAGATTACTTCTTGCCTTCAATTTTAATGTAATATTTTCTTTATTGGAATAAAAGAGTGATCAACCTTTAACTTTTAAGGCTAAGCTTATGTTTCAATTTCAAGTTTGATGATTTCTTTCTTCTGGTCACAGGAAAGAGAGGCACGCAGGGAGGAAAATATAAAGTTCACTTGTAGATGCTCTTTCTTAGAAATATATAACGAACAGATTCTCGACCTTTTGGATCCTTCCTCGGTAAACTTGCAGGTGAATGCCAACATTTTGTCTAATTTGTTAATGAATTGAAATCTTGTCCAAATAAACATGGTTTTTGTTTCTGCCTATGGGAGTTATATATTGTTCATCATACTTCTTCCGGATATTGTGCATCATTTTTAACGAGGTGAATTAGTGTCCTATCTTTTGTTGAGGACCTTGGAATTAGTGAGCACACGGATCAGTCCAAATTGCTGCTCACTATCCTGTTCCGTAAGGTCCAACTAGGTACTCCACAGTGATGCATCAGGTCAAATGAGGGACTAATGTGTGGTTAAGGAATGTGTTCTGACTTGCAACATCCAACTAGTATAATATTTATATTTATCAATGCAAATGCAGCCAACATATTGAACTAAAGAAAATGTGTGCAAATTGCTTTATCTAAAATGAATATTTGCAAAGTGCATAACTCAAATGGAAGAAGACAACTGAAAATTTTTCTTGTACTCTTACAGATAAGAGAAGACACTAAAAAGGGGATTCATGTAGAAGATCTCAAAGAAGTAGAAGTTACGAGTGCTCGAGATGTGATGCAACAACTTCTTCAGGTATATTCTCACCCTTGAGAATCAATTATCATTATTGCTTGTGAAACTCTCTAGTGTTAACTCCACTTAAGAGTAAAGATAAGGAAAGAAGCTGTTGATAGTTCTTGAGGTGATTATACAAGTCCATATGCACATGCTAAAGATTTGGAGATCTAAATGTGTTCCTCAGAACTGATAAATAGTCAGTTTTAATAAAGTTAATATTGTTACTTCCACTAATCATTATGTTTCCTAAGCATGCACATATTTGACATGAAGAGAGAGAGAGTTGGCAGGTTGTATCTTTTATTTGTTATACTAGCAAGCGGAATTGTTGGAGATGAAAAGTTAAAGGGGTGTCCACAAGATCATTGTTCCAGATCCAACCCATCTTTTTGGTGGATATCCAAACCAAATAGTGATGAAAGGTTCTTATTGTTCCCTGGGATTCTATGAAAAAGATCATATCTGTTTTTGACCTTGTTTTCTTAATCTCTTACTATGACTTAAGGTTAGTTTACTTATTCCTGTGGAAGTCCGTCTAGGACACTGATAATAGAACTATTCGGGTATGAGGGATATACTTGAATACTGCAACTCAAATTGTGCAGTATTTTCTTCTTCTTTCTTCCTTATATTTTCCATTAATTTATCGATGGTTAAATAAATATATTAATGATAAGGTAAAAATAGTGCATACAGAGTGCTCTAGTTTGGAGCCTTGTAATTTTTGAATCAAGGCATTCAGCACTAACTACCTTGTAACCAGAACTGCATATAAATGTAGCCAAACTTGACCCAAGTTATTGCAGTGTTTACCAGATTGTCTTTTGGTACCACCATTAATATGCCACAACCTTATACTAACCTGACAGTTATTAATTTTAAATGGAAGATCATAAAGAAAATGAGAGCAAAGTTAAAATAATTGCTCAAAAAATTAAATGCACAATTTTTTTGTTACTTATGGTTAGGATGATCATAATGTTCTTGTCATAACAGGGTGCAGCAAACAGAAAGGTAGCTGCCACCAACATGAATCGTGCTAGTAGCCGTTCACACAGTGTATTTACGTGTGTGATAGAGAGCAAAGTAAGTTCTATATCTTAATTTGAGCCATCAGATTTAGTCTTTTCTTACCTTATTCCCTCCACACTGGTACATAAATTTACACATAACCTGTTTGCAGTGGGAATCTCAAGGAGTAACTCACCACAGATTTGCTCGTTTTAACCTTGTTGATTTGGCAGGATCTGAAAGGTAAAGGAGAATAATTATGCGAATATGAGAAGATATCTTATGCTGAATTTTT